AATTTGAATGAGTGTGAGGAAGATACTTTTAACACTAGTATCCACACAGGTAGCCTTGATCCGATCACCATGGAAAATGTCTCCAACATTACAGCACAAGTCCAGCTGAATGTGACCAACTACTGCGAGATACCATGACTAGATAGTTGGGAACCTTCATTTATTGGTCACTGAGGTTCTGAGACTGCTTTGCTCAATGGTGAGTGGAAGAATTAACACCAACATGGGCAGAAGACCCTCCATGTAAAAGACACTTTAGACGTTTTAGAGGAGTTGGTGTTAGTGGCTGCACCTCATTTTAATGGATCACTACTGTCTGCACAAGAAGATTGCAATTTTTGCCGGGCCAGCTAGAAAGTGGAAGAAAATAACTGTAATATTGCAATCTGGAACATCGTAGCTCCCAACTATCCCTGATTTGGAGGAACTGTCTCTCATTTGGAATCAAATCCTTCTGCCCATCTTTCCTCCTCATTTCCTTCTTTTTGGTCTGATGTAAAGACCTCTATAAAGTAATGTACTGTTTAGCTACCAGAAGTGTCATACTGCAGTAAACCATACATCTAAGTAGTGTTGGGCTGTATGTTCAATTGGAATGACAGTTCATATCGACATCAGCCGTTTGTGTGTTCGGCAAATACCCGAACTGCAAGGGCAGCCCATCACACCGCACAATGCACTGCGCCCTGACAGTACATTGTGATTGGCCAAAGCAAAGCACCTAACCGCAGGTCAGGTGCAATGCTTTGGCCAATCACAGCACATGATGGCATCACAAGAGGGCCCTTTGGGACGTCATCACACTATTTAAGAACTGTCATCGTGGCACAGCTGTCATACGGCGGGAGCCAGCGTCGAGGGCGGAGCTTTTTTTTTCCTTTCTTTGGGTCGGGCGGTAGCACCGTGATTGATGTTGGATCTACTTTGGGGGACATTTTTTAAATTTTTGTATTTAATAAAATACTTGGCACAGACTGTCTCCTGTAATTTTTCCACTACACTTTTTTTTTGTGAATGGGTAGCAGTACCATGTACCCCATACTCATTCACATGGGGAGGGGGGGGGGGCGGGATCTGGGGGCCCCTTTGTTAAAGAGGTCTTCCAGATTCCGATAAGCCCCCCCGCCCGCAGACCCCTACAGGCACCGGCCACGGTTGTGGGGAAGACGTCCTTGTCCCCATCAACATGGGGACAAGGTGCTTTGGGGGGGAGCCCCGCTGACAGTGAAACAATAGAGAATGTTTTTAGTAGCTGTGCGGTATCTTACCGCTTAGTGAATTGTCCCCTCTGTTTGAAGTTCGCGGTTGAACTTTCGTTATGTTCGAATGTTCGACTGCGAACTGAACAGTCCCATCACTACATCTAAGCACTAAATGATTGAATTTGTTGGTTTGAAAAGCTGATGTAAAAAGAAATAATTTGTGGAGAAAAAAAAATCACCAATCATTTTGGAGTATTGATTCTTAACGGACCATGTAACTTGGAGCACCGCAGGTCCTTTGCCTTCATACTCTAAAATACTAAAAGGTGTCCCTCTTTCCCATCAAAGAAAGGTGAGAGGCAACACCAATATTTTCCTAGCTGTTAGTTTTTGGAAATGGGCGTTTGTATTAAGGATCAATCCTGTATTACAGAACCTTACAGCCCTCTCTGAATGGTGACGAAAGTCTCTTTGCGCCTCCTAGTGGTTATACTTTATAATTGCATTTTAACCTTCATCGGCTTGTCACTCTGTCTAGGTGCACCTACATGCAGTGCAGCATGTAAAGTCTATGGAGATGAATCACTCAGCTGTGAATGCATGCATTATTTTTATAACGCTTTATAGAGTCGGTAGCTGATAGAAATAATCAGACAGATATATTCTAGGAAGGTAAGAATTTGGGATACTTTGGGCAGCATAAAGCATCCTTCAAGAGGTTGTGGCAATGTACAAGGTTAATAACAGGTTAGCAGTTATATAACAGAATAAACAGGCTGCATACAATCCTAGAGCATTCCATGATGCATAAACATGTATACTCAGTCAAAACTAGTGTGCATGTATATGTCAGGGACCATACAAGATCATGCTGTGGTCAGATCTTACAGCTGTCATCTTGCGTCTACAGATAACATACATAAAATGAGTACATTGATGAGTGCAGAGAGCTCTGAAAATGCTGTAAGAAATGGATGCTAGTGAGGAAAACTCATAATGGTAAACAGTCATTTATGAAGAAAAAATGGAAAGCATTATTTAAGCCCCGGTCCCATCAAAGCTGATTTTGAAATCGCGCGACTTACAGTGAAGTCGCACGATTTTAAAGTCGGGAAACATGCCGATTTCAGTTATGATTTTCAAGACATTTGAGACAGATGTCTATGCAAATCGCAACAAAAGTAGTGCATGCACTACTTTAGAAATTGGTGCGACTCCGACATGTCAGAACCGCACCGATATGACCGCTCTAATAGTGGACAATAGGGTGCGATTTGCAAGTCGCAGGGCATGCAAATCGCATGCCAAGTTGCACCCGATGTGGCCGGAGTGTATGCCACTAATGTTATGCAGCAAGCATTGCCACTGTGGAAAAATCGAGACATTCAAGCAACTTTTGGGGCTTTTCCGTAATCCACTGTCTCCAGAGGGCATCTCATGGGGTCACTGGGGTCGTATTTCCTGAAGCATGTGCTGTGAAAGGTTCTGTCGGTTTCCTATATTGCCAATAACATTCAATCTGCAATTGCAAATTTGAATCCCACTAATGGCTGTAAAAAAACTTCTTAAAGTGTATATCCAGCCAAAACTTAACTTTGGGTAAAGTGGGGAGAGTTAGGACACCCATTGGGATTTTACTGCTATCCAGGGCTTTTTTTTATGATAGGTCTGTATTCCATATACAGGGAGTCATATCCCTTAATAGAGCTTTTAAATTCCGCCTGTGTCCCTATTGCAGATTTTCCCTTACTTCCTGTCTGGCAAAACTATTGTCAGCAGGACAGGAAGTGAGGAGCAGTTATCAAAAGCCCTAGAAAGCAGTAAAGCCCCAACAGGAGTTTTGATCCTTTTGCAAAGCTGGAAAACAAAATTTTAGCTTGACATGCACTTTAGGACTTCATTCACACTTACATCCAAGAGGTATAAAAACAGATCATCTGACCATTGAGGAGCAATTTAGAAATGGCCGACAGCCATGTTAGCACACACTGCCTTGCTCGCAGAATGGTAAAATTTATACAATGTGCTGGACCCACCACCAAACAAGACCTATCCAAGTGAATGGGACCATACAGCAACCATGTAATGCATGCAGTTGCCTCAGGGCAGGCTTTCAGTGGTTACAACAGATGTTCAGGGTACAACATATTGCCCCTAAGCCTCCTGAAAAGATCCATCTTGTATAAATTCTACTGCATGTGTGAATTAAGCCTAATAGTGTAAGTGAGAGATAGCAGGGAGCCTGCAGTGGGTGTTTGGGAACACCTGCCCTGTATCAAAAGCAGGTACTTGGATTACCAAGGAAAAGGCCTGGGGTGGCCTACTGAGCTACAACAAAGCCTACATCAGGCTTATCCACCTTTTTTTTACCACAGAGGAACCCTTGAAATAATGTTTAGGTCTTGAGGAACCCCTTTTAAAACCGATCCATTGTAGGACCTTTGGTGGCCACTGGGAAGAATGTAGCTTACAGAAGTTAAGGTTAGAATGTCAGCTTTACAGGCAGCTAAAAAGATCATTGATGGCTCTGGAACTATACAAGCACCATCAGATGGGAGGTCAATCAGTCACAGCTCAAGGAACCCCTAGCAATCTTTGGAAGTACCCTAGCAAACCATAGAAGCTTGGTTGAGAATGGCTGGCCTAGATGAAGACTGTGGAGATATCCTCTGCTTCCATTATGCATTTCAAGGTTTAATATTGACTGGAATGTGCTATTAAATTAAATAATGTACATAGCCATTGCCACATGACCCCCCCCCACATAACACCTTATAATTTTCAGGTTTTGAGGAACCCCTACTAAAGCTGATTCATTAAGGGAGCTATGGTGGCCAGTGGGAAGAAGGTCCCCTACAGAAGGTAAAGTCAGAATGGCAGCCGTACAAACAGCTAAAACGATCATGGGTGTCCCGCTGCTGGCTCTGCCAGGTGGCACTGACAGCAGAGCTATTCGGGCACCATCAAATGGGATGACAATCAGCCACAGCTCAAGGAACCCCTAGCAACCTTTGGAGGAACCCCGGCGATCCATGGAAGCCTGGTTGAGAATGGTTGGCCTAGATGAATGATGGAGCCTGTGGAGATATCCTCTGCTTCCTTTATGCATTTTAAGATTTAATATTGACCAGAATGCACTAAATTAAATAATGTACATAGCCACTGCCACATACTCCCTTGCAGGGACTTTGTATTCAGAACCACCATGATGTCATACATGGAAGTACCTGCAGGAACGTTAACACAGTGTCTGGTCAAGCACACGCAAACCCACAGTGACAGTGGAATTGTTTTCTCCTTTTTTATATAAACATATTGTGTTTGGGTAGACAATAGCAATGCTATGGCTTTCTTGACAAGGACAAAGGGATGTAACCTATTATAAATGAAACAGACTTATAAAAATACAATAATAGAGCTAATTATATGATGTAACCTGAGATCAGTTTATTTTTTTATTTTTTGTCATTGCGAACACGAGCCCCGCAGCTGTGTTCATTGGTCATAGTCTCCTACTCACAGTCTTCCATCCTATCCCTCTCTTCAAAAGGATAAATGTTAATTACTCTCTTCATAAATATGAAGTTGATAAAAAAAATGACCCGTTGAGGAACGGCAGCACTCAGGTCCATGCCCAGCTTTTAAGTCCCGCCATTTCAGCAGCGCTTGGTTTCCCTGTTCAATGTCCTCTTCTGATTGGTCGATGCTGCCTGCAAAGTCACCACATTAATCCACGGCGAGCAAAGTTTTGCAGGGAAGCTCCTCGTCCATCTCTGGTGGTTGGATACAACAACGCCTCTAGATTATGCCCTTCTGTAGACATTTTGGTTTTCGGAATGTCAGCCAGCAAGTCAAAAGGATGAATAATAAGAAAACAGAGAAGAAGACCATGAGTCCGACATATCCACCATGTGACAGCGGAGGGGAAGGGGGGAGCTCAGCTGGGATCATATTGGTCAGGTTCAGCATGTAGCCCAGAGTCCATCCGGCATCGCTACCGTGGATCTGTGGAGATGATACACCATATAAATACAATAGAAGAATGATAAGCATTCAGCATTAGTTTCATGTTTAAATTTTAAACAGTCCTTAATTTTCACCGGAGAAGAACACACTTCCTATCCCTGGGTGACTACGCTAACTCCCCCACCGTGTCTATGGGGGCAGCCGTGGTTGTCACACAGGTCGGACTTTAACCTCCCTACCGGTCTGATTATGTCATTATTTCTGTGCTCAAAGCGGTACATTTTTTTGCATGGAAATATGTCATTTTTTTATTGTAGGCCTGTAATTCTTAGCAATAACTCACTGAAATCTGCCCGAACAACAGTCTAGTAAACATCCCGGGTATGATAAAGTTTGAAACACGAAATCATAAATTATAATATAATAAATAATCATAAAAAATAATAATATAATAAATTTAATTCAATAATGTAATCAAACCAAAAACACTGAAATTTGAAATATAGCGCCAAGTTTGCACATCACTGAGCAAAGTCGCAAAATCGTTTTCAGTGTCTGATGACGAATTTCCCCCACAAATCATTATCACTCAATTCTGCAAGTGGTTCTGATTTACTATCACTGTTCTCTAGCTGGTCTAAAACCGCTTTTGACCTAAAGGGACGCTTTTTGGACGCCATGGACGTTTCTCAGTTTCCAGGCAGAAAGAACAGTAAAAATGCAGGCAGGGCGCCGGACAAAGCACTAGGACAAATATGTATGTGAAATGCTTTGATACAGGAATGTTATACTATGTGATTTTAGTGTATTTAGTGAATGTCACTTTTAAAATGTTTGAATTTCCTGCCAGTTCCGTTCAATTTCACCCACTGAAGTCAATTAGGCAAGCATTTGGCTCATGGTTGTGGCACGATCCCATTGACTTGAATGATTAAGTTTGGCAGGCAGTCCTGCCTTTCAACCTGATATGCTGCAATAAATTTGCCACAACATTTGAATATCCTCCTCTGGCTGTATTTTACAATTCAGGTGGGCAGCACATTAGCCCAATTATAAATAGCAAAAAAAATGAAAAAAAAAACAGGCATTCAGGATGCAACAGCATCACATCCTGAACATTTCTTAGCTGCACTCTGAAAAGCAATCTACTGTGGATTGCTTTTTAGAGCATAGGCTAGTGTGAACCAAGCCAAAAAAAAGCACAAAGTTCAGTAAATATGTACAGTAAATTACTGATCACCCTTGCCTGTTCTTTAATTTTGGATGCACCATTTAGAAGAAAAAAAAAAAGTTGGATACATTTTTAGGACTGTAGTCCAAACGGTTACATGGGAGGGGTTCAGAAAAACAAAAACTGCTATGTCAGAGCTATTGATGAATGGCATTATATACGTCATTTTCTTATTTTCACATTAAAGCTCAAGTCCAGGCACACTGATATAAAGTGGTTGTAAAGGCTCAAGATTTTTTACCTTCATGCATTCTATGCATGAAGGTAAAAAAACCTTCTCTGTTCAGCATCCTTCCCAGCCCCCCCCCCCCCCCAATACTCACCTATGCCCCCTCTCAATCCCGCGATGTGCACTGGAGTCTCAACTATCCTGGGACTCCCTCTCCTCATTGGCTCCCACTGCTGTCAATCACAGCCAGTGAGCCAATGAAAAGAGAGAGGGGGCAGGGCTGAGGGTGTGCGAATGCTCAGGTGCCCCCTAGCAAGCTGCTAGCCGTCAGGGCACCTGACAGGAGGGAGGAGCCAGGTGAGCCTGCAGAGGACCCGAGAAGAGGAGGATCCAGGCTGCTCTGTGCAAAACCACTGCACACAGCAGGCAAGTATAACATGTTTATTTTTTTAATTAATTTAAGTCTTTAAAATCACTTTAAATCAAATATATTTGTCAATAGCCACAAAAGATATAAATTCACTTTGTGTGCACCAAATGCCATTGCTAAACCAGAAATTACCTTGTAAAATTAGCAGTGACGTCACTGCTGTACTGTACATAGCGTGTGCAGAGAGCAGAGATGTGGGAGGGACTCAACAGGCTCCACCCATTACCGGCTGCCTGCAGAAAACTACAGGAGGGGGAAAAGTCACCCTGCACAAGGAGAGAGAGCAGCAGTGACCGGTCCTTTTGCCTCTTACCAACATCTAAGGTATGTCTTATGGCGGTTGTCTTGGAGAAAAGTAGTTCATGTGACTTTATTGCTATATATTTAAATCAGAATAATGTAGCATTAGGGATGATTGATGGCAAGTTAATATCTAAAGTGGTTGTAAACCCTTCCATATACCCAGTGAAGTGACTGGCATCAGGTGATGCACAGAGATGAAACGAATCCTCCTACATAAGTTGTACCTGTCTATCTGCAGTCTTTTCCTCTCTACATTCTTTCAAGGTGCTGAATTTTAAAGCTTGTCTGAGAGGTCAGAAAAAAAGGGGACGGAGAGCTAAAATTACACACTCAATGAGGAGAGCTCTGTGAGCTGATTGGAGGGAAGAGACACGCTCCCCCTCCACACAGCTCACAGGAACAGAGCTGAGCCTGTCAATCTGCTGGAGGTCCCTCCCCTGTCACCATTACTCTCTTGGTGTCAGGAAAGCTTGTCAGAAATGATTTGTGCTGTTAGTAGAGGAATGAAGCAGCAGATAGAAATTACAGTGCACACTACAATATAGAGAGATATGCTTGTTCAATGTTCATGCCTGAGGTTTACAACCACTTTACGTTTTAGGTAAAAATCCTTTTAGTCAGTATATATAGGGCATACATTACCTTGCCCAAGAATGTGATGTCCTCCCAGCTGCTAGAGTTAAAGCCATACAGATCCAGAAGGCTAAGAATGTAGACTCCAGAGAAACAATATTCACTGAGATACTTCTCCTTTATCCTGCCAGACTCTCTCTTTACCTGCAGTACAAGGACAGAGCAGACATCAACAGAGCATATAGTGCATATTAAGTGGGCACATATTTTCACTTTTTTTGGCAGCAATAACAAAATCCATGTCTTTTTACATTTTTACATTTTTTATCTTCCATATTTTTGTTATTTCATCAAAGGCAAACAGTGAAAGCAGGGAAAAAAGTCAAATTATGAAATAATGAACCACAGCAACTTTTAAGTTTCCACTGTGGGTCCATTATTCGGTCCGTGTGTACTAGGCTTTAGACCAGAGGTCTCAAACTGGCGGCCCTCCAGCTGTTGTGAAACTACAAGTCCCATCATGCCTCTGCCTTTGGGAGTCATGCTTGTAACTGTCAATCCTGCAATGCATCATGGGACTTGTAGTTTGTCAACAGCTGGAGGGCCGCCAGTTTGACACCCGTGCTTTTGACAGTTGTTACCAAGACAGGTGCACCCATTGAAGATAACATTTTGAAATTTGAAAAGAAATAGGAAAAAGAAACAGCAAAGAACAATAAAATGAGGGGGAGGCTTAGGGTTCTTTCACACAGAGCGGACCCGTTTAGCGGATCCGCTTGCTCAGTGGGGATCTCTCCGCTGATCCCTGCTGAACAAGCGGATGACAGGTCTGTATCCACTCCACTGCTCTCAGAGCGGACACAGAGCAGCTAGCTGTCCTCAATGAGCAGTTGGGTGGAAAAGGAGCTCCTGTTCATTTCCATCCAAACCAATCCGATGGATGGAAGGGGAATTGGATCCCCATCCGTCCCTTTTTGGCATATCAGATCGGATGTTGGCGGGTGCAAATGGGCAACATATCCGTTTTACACCCGCCGCTCCATAGAGGAGAATGGAGGTTCCAATCAGGTCTGCCTGAAAAACATGCAGGCGGACCCACTGGGAATGTCCGTGTGAACGAGCCCTTATGTGATAACATGCGCTATCAGTAAATCTTGAATAAGCGCCATTTAGCAGCCTATAGAAACACAATGCCTTACCTCAGCCCATGGTTTAGAACAATGTCTCTCCACTGTGTCCTTCACACTGTCCAGAGAAACTTTTTCCTTGGTGAGTTTTAAAAAGTCCATAACAAAATAAAATGCAGAGAAGGCCTGCGGGGAAACAGTACACAAAGCATTACGAAAACACTTCGCGGGTAATATGTTTCCTTCCCTGTCATGGTGGAGATGGACGGCATACTCCACGTCCTGTGCAACATCAAGTCCTTCACGCACAGGACCATGGCTGGTGGGAAAATCAAGAGTAAATTCCATAAGAGGGTAACATCGATCTTTCAATGGATTAAATCATATAATTATAGAGGAATAGGTCTTGAGTTGCCTGTGATTCTGCCAACAATTTATCTAGTGAATTGACCAATCACGGCACTATTAGTGATCATCAGATAGGTAAAACGTTAAAGCTGAAGTTTAGTTAAAAAAAATCTTTTAATCTACAACAATAATTACATTACGTACCTCTAATGAAGTATATCCTATAATGTGCAAGGTGCTGGATTCTGTAGAAATCTTCACTGTGCAGGGCTGCCCTGGCCTCTTCCTTCTGCTGAACTTCTGGTGCTGTGGTGGGTTAACAGCTTCAGGTCTCCAGGTTCAGTTGCAGAAAAGGTGATCTGACAAGAGACATGCCAGACATGTCATGCCAGACATGTCAGACATGCCAGACAAGAGACATGTCCACTCCTCCACTGAGTGTGAAAGATCTGTGAATGGGTAAGACTCTGAGGTCACAGGATTCTCTCCTCCATTCACAGGTCACATTACACATGTAACCAGTGAAAGGATTCTCAATGGAGGAAAGGGCAGGAGGGGGAGTGTCCTTGTCAGATCATCTTTAGTGCAGCTGAGCCTGGAGATTCTGAGCTGTTAACTCCACAGTGCTGAAAGTTCAGCAACAGGAAGAGGACGGGGTAGCCCTACCGTTAAACTTTTTTAGAGAATCCAGCAGCCTGCACATTGTGGTACATCCTCTTTTACAAGCAAGTAATGTAATTAAAGTTGTTGAGAAAAAAATGTTTTTTAGCTACACTTCAGCTTTAACAAAGTCCAACTCCAGGCTGCATATTTTTTTTTAAAACGTACAATTTTTTTGGCTTCCTTTGAGTCTATTTTGTAATGTAAATGTGCTACTTACCTTCTCCATGCTGCAGACATGATCTCTCGATTGTCCTTTTACAATGGACGCTGCCACCTTTCCTGGTTGAATGATGCCCAGTGTCACACGACCACTTTCTATGAGCTCAGGCACACTGGGGATGATTTACTAAAGGCAAATGGACTGTGCACTTTACAGAGAGCAGTTGCTCCAGAGCTTAATAAACGAGCAAAAGCTCTGCTGACTTCCATCATCCAATCATGTGCAAGCAAAAATTCTGTCTTTTAATTTTCCTTGCATGTGATTGGGTATTCTTTGCAAAGTGAAACTTCACCTCATTTACTAAGTTCTGGAGCAACTGTAGTTGCAGAGTGCACAGTCTATTCGCCATTATTAAATCAACCCCCTGAGTCATTATGCTGCCTGGACTTACTGTGGGCATCCCGGCTAGCCTGTATAGATTGGTGCTCACACATTATTATTATACAGGATTTATATAGCGCCAACAGTTTGCGCAGTGCTTTACAAAATGAAGGCAGACATTACAATTACAATACAATTTGGTACAAGAAGAAACAGAGGGCCCGGCTCGTTAGAGCTTCTGATGCATGAGCACCACTGATACCCCTCTCTGCTACAGACTAAGGATCGCCGTTGTCACATTACCACAGTTACACTCAAGGAATTACATTTTTACAATCTGAAGTAATACTGTGGTGGGATGTGCATGGAGGGGGATGGAAAAAGGCTTGATAGGACTTTAGGTTGGATTCATACTGTTCAGTGTATGCTGCAGTGCAACTTAAATGCATGAGTTTTGCTGCATGAAAATGGACAAGTGTGAATAGGCCTTTATTAGCTACATTAGCTTTATTAACCCCCTAGCGGTCTGATTATGTCAGTATTTCTGTGCTCAAAGTGGTACATTTTTTTGCATGGAAATATGTATTTTTTTTATTGTAGGCCTGTAATTTTTAGGAATAACTCACTGAAATCTTCTAGTAAACATCCCGGGTATGATAAAACTTGAAACACGAAATCATATAATATATAATATAATCATATAATCATTATAATTTATAATTTAATAAATGATCATAAAAAATAATAATATAATAATAATAAATTTAATTCATTAATATAATCAAACCAAAAAACACTGAAATTTGAAATAGAGCGCAAAGTTCGCACATCACTGAGCAAAGTCGCAGAATCGTTTTCAGTGTCTGATGACGAATTTCCCCACAAATCATTATCACTCAATTCTGCAAGTGGTTCTGATTTACGATCACTGTTCTCTAGCCGGTCTAAAACCACTTTTGACCTAAAAGGACGCTTTTTGGACACCATGGACATTTCTCAGTTTCAAGGCAGAAAGAACAGTAAAAATGCAGGCAGGGCGCAGGACAAAGCACTCGGGACAAAATCTATGTGAAATGGTTTGATACAGGAATGTTTTACTATGTGATTTTAGTGTATTTAGTGAATGTCACTTTTTAACATTTTTTAATTTCCCGCCATTTTCCGTCCCCTGTATGTCCCAACGCTCACAGGGAACGGAACACGGAAGACGGATGCCGGCATCGGTCAGAGGAGATGGCCGGGGACGCTGCAGGGGGGACATTGCAGGAGCGCAGGACAAGGTAAGTGATCGAGGGATACCGGAGCAGCACCGCATGGTAAGCCCGAGTGTAGCTCGGAGTTACTGCTTGTGGTACTGAAACTTTACCCCGAGCTACACTCGGGAATACCGTCAGGGAGGTTAAGTTGGGTTTTGAGTTTTCCTTGAAACAATTAAACAGGAACTACAGCCAATACATTTACATTTCTGAATAGAGTAAAGTTAGATCTTCTGCCAGGCTTTTGTTGGCTGCATTTCTCGATGTGTCACATTGCTTAAAAGGCCACTTTAGCACACCTTAAGGTTGCATTCAAACCTAAGCATTTCGTAAGTGTTTTGTGAAACTGTGTGTTGCACATGTGGTGCCATTTCTTGTTAATGGCATCCCAAATGGTGCAAGCAGGTGCAAAGCTTAATGCCCAAAAAGGAACATGAGCTATCTTGGTGCGTTTGTCACGCATAAGGCAGCCCATGGAATCCTAAATCTGAAGTTTGATTAAAAAACATTTTTTTTTCTCTATAGTTTTAGTTACATCACTTACCAGTAATGAAGTATGTTCCATGATGTGCAGGCTGCTGGGTTCTGTGGAAAAATTTCACTGTGAGGATGCCCTGTCCTCTTCCTGCTGCTTCCGAGGTTGTGGGAGTTAACTCTTTTGGGGTCCGCGGGCTCAGCTACACTAAAGATAATCTGATGGGAACACTTCTGCAACTCTGTGAAAACTACTTTCACTACTTACCCTGTCTATAACATGATCTATGATAGGGGGAGAGAAATCATTTGACTGATCAGACTCTCTCATTCACAGATTATGTTACAGATATTGTAATCAGTAAAATAACTTTTTTCAATGGAGGAGAGTGCAAGAGGGTATGTGTCCCAATAGATAATCTTTGATGTAGCTGAGTCCACAGACTCAAAGCTGTTAACCCCACAGTTCTGGAAATTCAGCAGCAGGAAGAGGATGGGGCAGTACTGCAGTGAAGAGTTCTACAGAATCCAGAAGCCTGCACATTGAGGGGCATACATCATTACAGGTAAGTAATATAATTAAGGCTGTTGTGAAACAAAAATGTGTTTTAGCTAAACTTCAGCTTTAAGTGCTTTTGCAGCTTGATAAATCAGGCTCATTGCTACAATACTCAAAGAAAGGTTAGAACCAGTAAAATGAGAAAATGTTCTGTGTAGCAGAGGGGTGTTGCCTTGGGTGCCAGTGGTTGTCTGTTCAAAGTTTCCATTGAGGGATCTCTCTTTAAATATAAAGAAGAATTCCAGGTATGGATATTTTATACAGTTACATTGGTCCAGCGTGGACAGCCTGGACCAATGTACTGTACCTATATATATATCATACCTGGCCAATGCCCCTGGAAGCTGTAAATCACTGAAGTAGATATCATAGATCTCCACTTGCTTCTGGTTACGCGCATTTTTTTCTTTGCATTTTGTGAATGAATAGAAAACACTCCCTGATTGGACAAGGTGGAGAGAGTGATGTCACTGACTTGTCTCTCCACCTTGCCCAAACAGAGCGAAATGCTCAACTGCAAAAAAACTGACTGTGATGGCTGCTGATATCTTAAAAGATTTAAAAGCATCAGTCGGGCAGAAGATCTGATTGTGTAAGGCTAGGATATACCTCAAGTTTTTACTAATACTCTGATGATTTTAATGTCCTTGGGATGAATGCAAACACAAGACACATATCGTTTACATCAGCGTCAGGTCAATCAACATGAAATCATGTTTTAGCAGGCTCTAGAAAACCAAAATGATGACACAAATATGTTCTCACCCCAAACTCTCCTTGCAGCCCTGGCTGGAAAATCCCATTAAACGAACACCGAGAATAGCTACAGTGGGACACGTTGAAAATAGTCTGGACTTTGTTCTTGCATAGCTGGTAGTTGCCTGTCCCCTGGATTTGAATGGTTTGCGGAGCTGTGAGGATCCTCAGGCCAGATACACAGGGGCTGCTGTAGAGGTCCGCTGTGCTGACATTCCGCATATACCCTGAGTTGAAGCACGGGTCCAGGAGGGTGATGTTCTGTCCATGCTGCAATCAAAATTAAGATTTTTATTATGTGAACTGTGCAAACGTACAGAAAGAGCATAGGTCAGCTTTCCCCAACCCTTTTTAACATAGAGTACAGATAAATATTCCCAATGCACACATTACTGGAGATGGCTGTACAGCAGGTAGGTTGTAGCAACCACTAGATGGAAACCAGAAACAGCACAGAATAGGAGATACACCATATTGCCAAAAGTACTGGGACACCCCTCCAAATCACAGGATTCAGGTGTTCCAATCACCTCCATGGCCACAGTTGTATAAAATCTAGTACCTAGGCATGCAGACTGCTTCTACAAACATTTGTGAAAGAATGGGTCGCTCTCAGGAGCTCAGTGAATTCAAGCGTGGTACCGTGATAGGTTGCCACCTGTGCAATAAGTCCATTCATGACATTTCCTTGCTACTAAATATTCCACAGTCAACTGTAATTGGTATTATAACAAAGTGGAAGCAACTTGAGAACAACAGCAACTCAGCCATGAAGTGGTAGGTCATATAAACATTCACAGCCAGATCACCCAAGCTAGCTTGTTTCATGGTAATAGAGTGGGGGGAAGAAACATAGCCAGGTACATCCACACCAGAAAACCAACAGCAATTAGACAAGGTCTTCAAACATGTCTATCTTCCCAAAATCAGTTGGCCAGGGATGACATTCAATGATTGTGTAATCCATCTAAAATCGGCCAAGCACACACATATCTATCTAGTTTAACTTGCAGATGTCCACCAGTAGCTCTTAGGCTGGCTAACACTTTCAGTAGAACTTTTAGCAATAGGCTAGAAATACTTGGCAAAATTGTACACTTTATTTAACTATCCCAAATTTAAAAAAAAATCAGATCTTTCACGCAATGGCAGCTCAATATTTTTCCCAAAATACCTAGAACACCAAACTGCCACAGTGAAAAGTTTGAGAAGCATTATAGAACGTGCAATTTGTTGAAACGAATATCTATTTACAGCAAGTGATATAAAAACCCGATACGGAGTGCAGGGAACAATAAAAACAGTTAATTGTTGCCATTGTGCAGCTGGCACGAAAACATGGCTGAGTTAAGTTTGAGATACGCTTTTTTTCGGCATCAATTATGGGGTTTCAGAATACTCTCAACGAAGTGATTGAGCATGCTGCCACAAGATGTATTTTAGTCTGTTTAACTCTAGCGATGACTCCAACATTTTGACACTAGGACGGATTAATGGATTAAAGGTAAGAAGAGGAAAAAAACATTGAGATTAGTGAAGGTATTTATGATGGATGGAATGATATAAACACATGTAAGGTGTTGAGACACAGCGTTTTTATATACCCAAGGCCGGTCTTGAAGTGTATCTAAAACTTGAACATTTTTTAAAGTGGTTGCAAAGCTGAATTTTTTTTTTATTAAAATAAAAAACATGTTATACTTACCTGCTCTGTGCAATAGATTTTCACAGAGCAAACCCAATCCTCCTCTTCTTGGGTCCCACACTGGCTCTCTTGACTCTTCCTCTTCATCCAGTGCCCCCATAGGAAGACGCTTCCTATGGGGGCACTTGTGCAGGCTCGCTCCCAAACCCTGCTGCCTGTGTCCATAGACACAGACATTGGGGTACAGCCCAGTCTCCTGCTTCCTGGTCACATAGTTTGATTGACAACAGCGAGAGACAATGGCTCCTTCTGCTATTGATCTGCCCTTTGAGGAGGGACAGAACCAGGAGAGCTGTTGCTCTCATGTACAATGCTGGATCATGACGGGGCTCAGGTAAGTATAAGGGGAGGCTAGGGGGATCCCAGGTACAAAAGGTTTTATACCTTAATGCATAGAATGCTTTAAGGTAAAAAAAAAAACTTAAGGCTTTAAAACCACTTTAGGTTTTAGATAGAATAGAGAAGGGTTAAAACTCTTTTGAGTTTTTTTTATGACTTTATCCCAATGGAGATTTTTCCTTTACTTGTTGTTCTAGAGACAGGAAGTGGGAGGAAATCTCTCCAAGGTGAGGACTAATTTTCCCACTTGGAACATTTCTTCTACCTATTCTGGTGACAACTCATCACTTTCTGTTCCAATAACAATGGTAATTAGGACAAAAATTCAGGATTTTATCACGTACATACTATATCCAAAACTAGAAAAAAAAAAAACATAGCTTTGCACTTACTTTAAGCATCCTCTTAAAAGCAAGTAGGCTCTCAATTTTGAACAAAATTTGTATTAATATGGCCAGTACTGATCACCCAAGATTTGAATAACAAGTGCGACAGGCTGTCAGTGTTATTCATTCTCAGCCAGGAAGATGTTTCAATTTATGGTCAATGGAGAAGGGTCTTCTATGTTAAAGAGTAAGGGCTATGTCACACATGCATTCCTGTCATTGACAACTACTAGACAGCAAGAGCATAGATATAGAGGGCATGGAAATACCCACCTGCACAGAAATGACCAGTCAATAGGTGCTGGTATCTCAGCCCTGTGTCTTTTTACCATGGGACGGGTACCTGTTGCTACCAATGTTTAAGGCACTGGACTTAGATTATGCTTTAAAGTGTATTTCCACATTTGCAATCAGCTTTGAGAAAACCCCACTTTATGTTTGTTATGAGTTCCTAATACATAAAACTTTTAAATATATACTTCTTACCTTTTAGATGATCCTGAGGAGAAGGTGTCATAGCCAACTGCAAGAATTTCTCAAATAGTTCAGCTTAATTTGTCCCAATTGAAAGGCTAGCGACTGGCTTAGCCCAGTTCTCATCAACATACAACAGAGAAGTCCTGTTTCTAAACCTTTGTTAGGACAGACATTGTTCACATCTAGTACAACTGATATGATGGTATCTGCCTGCACAGTACAGACAGGGTTTATTATGGCAAACACAGCTCCCCAGCCCCTTCATAACAAAGAGAACTAAGTAGAATTTTTCCTTCATAGAAGTTCCAGAAAAAAGCATCTAAAAAGGTAAGCTGCAGTTTTTAAATATTTTTTTAGGTGATGCTGTATAAATGGGGACATGTAACGAGTATAATTAGGTGTTATCCCAATTTGGTTGCAAAAGTGGAAATACACTTAGAGTAAAGGTTAGAGGGGGTTACATTTTAAGATAAGTGTTGGGGTGAGGTCATTTATTAGGTATGAGGGTTGTATTAGGGGGTTAAGATAAGCTTTGAGTAATACAAAGGAAGCTAACAGTTAAAGTGCCATTTTAGGATTAGGTTAAAGTGGAACTAAAGGCAAAGGCACATAGGTTGGACAAAAATATGAAAACACTACATGATTTGCAGGTGTGAAAATTACAACATGTTTCACATTGAAAGCGGAAGTGATGTAACATTATTTTGCTTCCGCTGTGTGATGAGACACCTAGCTAACAAGTGAGAAGCCTTACTTGCATCATTCACTGAGTGTGCTGCTAGCAATACAGAGTCATGTCAGAGCTTACTAATTTTTAAAAGAGGGCAAATTGTTGGTGCCCGCTTAGCTGGTGCCTCCGTGATAGAAGCTAGCAATTTAATTGCAGTGCTGTAAGGTATAGCATAAAAGGTTATAATGGCATATACAGTTTCTGGGAAAACATCGTCTGATAAGCATAAGCGCGGTCGACATGGTCAACTGTCCGAAGAGAGACAAAAGGATATTGCACAGAATTGTGACCCGGAATAAGAAAACCACTGCTGCAAAAGTGACTGCAGAGCTCAATCTCAGTCTTCCAAAGCCTGTATACACAAAAACTGTGAGGAGGGAACTCCATAAGCAAACCATTCACAGATGAGGTGCAATTGCTAAAACCTCTAGTGATTGATATAAATATTCAGAAGAGGAGAGAGTGGTGCAACACCCATAAATCATGCACCATCAATCAATGAAAGACTGTAATATGATCAGATGAATTGACCTCTGTTCCCAGCTGCCGGAAATGTTTACATGCGGCAAACACCGTCCCAAGCTTACGACCAGGACTATCTTGTGCCAACAGTAAAGCATGGTGGTGGCGTATTAATCCTTCAATGCAACCACGCTGGAGGCAGCCTATAAGGTCCTCCTGAGGTGGTATTGGGTTCTGGCACGCTTTGCAACTTTAAACCCTTCTTACAATGACAGGTGTTTCTGAGACTGCGGTCAACGCAAGGATATGCTCCACACCTGGGGATCATGTCTACGTTTAACTAGGTTCTGGTCTTGGGTTTTTGGCCTTCTTTACATGCTATTTCATATCCCAGTCTGCAAAGATGCAAAAATTGTCACTGTTACACTGCCCTGCCCCAGGCTTATTTTTACACTAACAGAAACTTGCCACCTAGCTGTTCACTGCCACGAAGCGGGCCATAGCTCAGGCTTGGAAATCACCCTCAGTGTCATTTTCAGTGGTGCAGAACATCCTGACCACCTTGATGGTAAACGAGGGGATGTCTAGCATCTTGCAAAATAGACACACTATATATACTGTCCCCCCTCTCTTTGTCAGAGCCTGGGATAAAACCTGGGCCTTCTGCAGTGAGAGGCAATGTTTCTTCTCACTGAGCTACCTGGGATGCTGGACTACACTCTGTCTGATCAATTGGATAATCCTGCCTTGTCCCTTGTTTTCTCTTGAACCTTGAACTCCTTGCTCCTCCCATGAACTTCCTATAAAAAGCCATGTCCATGCACTTCCTCCTTGCCAGATTTTGTGCCTTCCAGCCAATATCCCGCTCATCCTTACTGCTGCCGTCTATATCGTTTGTGACCGACTTTTGGCTTGTGACTGACTTCGCTTTTATCTTATCCCTAAACTGTTTGATCCGCTCTTGGTTTCCAGCTTGCCCTTTCCCTGGTGGGGTGATCCTGAGACTGCGACCTGGTATTCACACGCAGCCAAATCCATCTCCACCATTAGGAGCTCTGGGGAAGAGACCGGTGGATACTTAGACCCTGCACCTCAGGTGAGCCTGCGTCATTCCCAGGGGGACCAGCTGGTGTACCAATCCTGCTGGTTTCAGGTAAGCCTTACAACTGCTGTAGCAATTGGTCTCTGAACCTGACCTCACACCGTGAAACTCTTCCTCCTCTTCTACTTCTATCCTCCATTTCATTCCTTCCTAGGACCGTCTGTTGGTTTGCCCTTTTTTTCTCCACCCTTTACCTCTGTTTTCTCTACAGAGTATACACCCAGGCCCAAGGACCCAGGAAATATATGTAGACTGACGGCTTCCCCCATGCGGTCACCTTTTGGCCATTATTCTTGTTGAATTGTTTGTTGCACATTTTTCCATCCATGCATGTTTGACTAGGCTTTCATCAAGCTATCCTACGTGGGTGATCTGTGTTGTATTTTTTGCTGCAACAATAATAAAACTATTGACCGGAAAAGAAACAGCAGACACGACTTCAGAATACGAGTTCACTTCCTTTATGCAGGACAGCATGCAATGCATGCCTCCCTTAAGCTTCTGAAAATAAGAGTTCTCTTTGCACCAATGTCTAATAACTGGACAACTCTTTTGGCAATGCAGATGGTAGACAAGGACAAACCTTCTCTTTTACAAATACAGCACATAGGCTCTTATGAGACCCAAAGTCTCCAACCCACTCCCACTAAAAGGAGTGAAACCTTGTATGAAGCCTGACTGTCCCTACCATATGGGTTCCTGTCTGTACCTAAACTTCCCCAGTCTGAAGCCCCTCTGTAATGCAGATTGTTATAGCATATCAGTGCCAAAAATTGCTATTGAAATCTCAAAAAAACCCTTTGTCTAAATTCGACATTGTTTTTTTCAAGCTGGAACCCATAACAAAGGATACATTAGTCCTATGCTGGGCTCCACCTAGTGCCAGTAGTTAATCCGCAGTCAAGTGTTTGGTTGCCAATGAACAAAAGGGAAAGTGACTTAAAAGATCACTGTAATACTTTAGAAGCAGGTAACCCAATGGAGTGAAGTAACACCTAGAGGTGTCCCTCAAAGCTAGAGCAAGCCTCCACCTGCCTGCACCCCCATCTTCATGCATTTGACCACTTTTATGTGGGCTTTGCATTCCCATAGACTTGTATGTTAGTGCAAAATCCATCTGAAGCAAACACAAACCCACTGACACAGGCCCTAAAGGCATTCAACGTCTGGAGCAGCAGGGCATGGCCTCTTTTATTTTGCTTGTGGTGGAATTGTCTGGCACATGAGACACATGGTGAGAAATTTGTCCCTGTGGAGAAACCCAACTGAAATATGAAGAATAATCACATTTGGTAATATGTTTTAGTATGTGTATAGTCTAAATGCAGGACATAATATTTATCTAGCAAAAATCGAGTTTAACTTTAAGGAAAGATATGAATTATATCTGTTTATCCAGAGGGTATGCGTTTTTCAGTGTTGTGGAACACAAAGTACTTATAAACTGAAGAACAGATAATTGCTCCAAATTATTCAAGGGGTGAAAAGGTTTTAGCTCTAAGAAGTGGTTCCCAGGGCCCCAGGGGCTGTTTACTAAGCAGTAATAAGCAACAAAGATTTGCCAGGTTACAGCACATATAAAAAAGAGACAGGTTGTGACTCTGAATAATCAAAATGTGAAGCATTTCATAATACGTCCACTTGTACTGCTATGGATTATAATGTCTCTACATCCTTTAGGGAAAATTGCATAATTAACATTCTTTTCTACCTTCTATAATCTGATGCATATGGCTCAATTCACAAAGCAAACATACCAGGATAAGGGTTTTTGGGGCTGATGTATAATGGTGAGCTGGTGTTGCTATCTACTCTCCATTATACTCTACAATATCACTCAATATGAGAACCGGCATTTTGTGGCCCGTTCAAAAAAATGCAGGCTGCAGTACTTAAAGCGGAACTTCACCCAAAAATAGAAGTTCCTCTTTTCTGCCTTCCCCCTCCCTCTTCTCCCACTTTTGGAACCTTTCTTTTTTTGGGGAGGGGAGGGGGGTACCTGGTTTTGACAGATACCCGCCTAGGCGAGCCAATGGGAAGTTTACTCCGCACTTTGCCCACAGCCTTCTGCTCGAACTTGCACACTGGGAAGCCAAGATCTTTGAGGTGGGATATCCCTCCTGAGAACGGGGATATCAATAGTGAAACCGAATGATTTACATTTTTTAACAATATGGGTCTAGATTTGCTCAAATTTCTATTAGTACGGAAAAAGAAAAAATTAAATTATCTAGCTTATATTGTTAAGCTTCACAGACTGCTTCCCTTAGTTAAGATGCCGGGGACTCAAAGAACCGCCTCAGGTGAGAACAGTTCTGGATCCCTAGACACGTAAGTGCCCTTATAACTCAGCAGCTACAGTATTGGTATGTGCTAACTTTTAAATTTGTTTTGGGGAGACTGAAGCTACTCTTTAAAGTGTTAGTAAAGGCTAACTAACTATTCCTAAAAATGTTCATTTCCCCCCCTCCTCCTATCTATCCTGCCTATCCTGTATAAAAAAGATCTGTGTACTGACCCTTTTTTTTTTTTTTTTCCGGTCTGGTCATGTGATTCAGCAGCTCCGACTTCCCTGTGTAAGGGAATGCCCAACAGCAGCTGTAAATCCCTGGAGCCGTGATATCACCCATAGGCTCCCATAGCTTCGCTGTTGTCGGTGTTCCCTTATCTCCACTGCAGCAGCGGCTTACTGATACAGGGGCGCGGATTAAAAAAGGTAGGTACACTCATCTTTTTTATACAGGGTATTCAGGATAGGTAGGAGGAGGGAACATTTGCCACATAATTTTCATTGGGAGGAGCAGGTACATAGTTTTGAAAGGTACCTGCTCCCACTTCCGCTTAGATCGTCCGCATCTCTTTGCCCGCAGCCTTCTGAGACATGTCACAGGTCCCAGAAGGCTGCAGGACCATTCACAAAGTGCAGTGAGGCTTGCACATGTGCAGTGGGGAGCCAGCTGTGAAGCCGCAAGGAGTCAAAGCCAACTTCCCCCACTAAAGATTCCGGCAGTGGGAACCCAAAGACTAGTGAAGAATTGGTCCCGGGGGAGGACGGCGCTGAATTCTTAGACAGGTAAGTGTCTGTCTATTAAAAGTCAGTAGCTACAGTATTTGTAGCTGATGATTTTTTTATTTTTTTCAAGGTGAAGATCCCTTTTAGCAAGATCCCTTCTGATAGAATCTACTGTCACTCCCTTGTTACCTTTTTTTATAAATGTCACAAATCAGGATACATGAAAGCATGAGGAAAATCAATTCCTACATTCAGTTATATTTGCCTCCTGTATCCCCAGGCACAAGAAAGCATTGGAAAATGTATGCTATGCATAGAAAATGCCTAGAACTTTCTCTATGCATGAACCCGAAGAATCAGGATATTACTTGCTACAAACACATTTACTACAAGGTTCGTTTGATAGATACGGCTCGTTATCTGGTTACTCTGTTATTTATGGGTTGTTGTGTACCGTCATAGTGTTGGCCAGCTGTAGACGGAGAGCCTGGTCTTTCCCATAGCACAGGAAGCTGTGTGTATAGACGTTATAAGATTTCCCATACAAGCGGAAGCGTAGAGAGTTATCCTGCGATTCGATATTTTCATCGGAGACAAACGTGATCTGTGTGGAGGCCCCTCCGAGGTCCAAAGCACCCGAAGTTCCTTCTTTGGAATTTGGCATAATGTTGAACCAAGGTGAACTCTGGAGTAAGAAGAGGAAGAAATTAGAAATCTTAAAATGCGACCTTGGTTCCCTTAGAGTACATTTAAACCGACTGACTAAAATCTCATATTAGTACTAACCTGCTAAAGCTAACCTTCAGACAGACAGGTAAATACATAGAAACTGCATACAGTATGTGGGGGCTGTTTAACCGGCCAAAGGATTTGTATTTCTGCTCATCCAGTCCTCAGATAACTCTCTGCTGCATTTTCTCTTACATTTACTGGTCTCCTCCCCACCCCCATGACTGGACAGTAGAAGGAGAAGCAGCACACTAATGAGCTCATCCATCTGTCATTCTGCTCTCTCCTCCTATCAGCATGCTCCTTTTAGTGCAATGCTCCTGATTGACGCTTTGTGATGTTTCTCCCCCACCCCTCTTTGCTCTGCTGTTTAAGGACTGGAAGAGGGTGACTTCAAGTACTCACACTGCTTGCATCTGGAAAAACACATTTTTCAATTATTAATGATAACAGAGCTAATACAATTATGTCTTCTTCAGTAATTTGAACTGTGCAGCTTTCAACTTCCAATGCACATACCAGGGGTTGTGGCACACTGCATTTGTTTCATTGCAGTACATTGCCAGTAATTTGTAAATGAATGGGCTGCCTTAACCCTTCTTCTACCACAGTACATCTATTAAAACTGGATTGGTGGGCAGTTATTTACCATGTGCTGTTTATAAACGGCACATAAGGAACCATCAGGTGGCCACTGTACTTGATAATGAACTGAGCCATCTTTGGGTGGCACTGTTCACAGACACTGTGTACAGAGTCACTCCAAGTGGCTCTGTACCTCAGGATCACTGTAATTGGTCATGGAAAGACCAATCACAGTGATCCCAGGATATAAAGTTATTTTTAACCCTTTCATCCCCCTTCTCTCCTAAACTACTGCTTGCTATAGTATCTCCATAGTTGACCTGTGACTCTTCCCCTCCCTTATCCTGCACATCTACACATTAACCCCTTCCCTTTCTCCATCCTCCCACTGTATATGACCTCCTCCCTCTGTGTATAACATGTATATTTAAAGTGATTATAAATCCTTGTTTATTTAGAGAACTTTCAGCATCTGATTTATTTACAAACATATGCAGCCTGTCCATCTTTTAATCTTTGCCTAAATTCCAGTTAACACTTGTGCCATGATTGCTGCCCCACATTTTTGTGTTTCAGGGTGTCCCCTTTCTTTTGCGGCATCCTATGGAGTCATCCTTGCATACAGGGACTAGAGTTGTGTCCCACACAGCCCACTAGCCTAGGATAGCAAGGTACTTCCCTTGTTCTTCCCTCCTCTTTCCCCTATCCCTTCACCAAGCTAACAGACTGGCTTGAATACTGCACTATCCACTATTAACTCCTTTGAAGACAGGAAGTTCAGGGAAGCAGAACTAGGAAAGCAGGAGCTAGCAGCATTTAGAGTGGCAGTATAAAGCAAAAAAATAAATCTAAAATAATTCTCCCTGCAAGTTAAAAGCATAATGTGCTAGTATGCATCAAATACTGGCACATTATGAAAGACGTACCTGAAAATAAAGCCCTCCAGTGGAGAACTGTCATGGCTCCCCCAAGGCTTCCATCTTCACCTGGTCTTCCTTCCAGGTTGGCGGGCTGCAGCTGTTTGACTGGCTGAACCATGTTGCGCGGGAGTTTCGGCCATGGGACGATTCTCTCAATGGACGGCACGCTGTCCATTGAGAGCACATTGCGCTTGCAATGGTAACATCACCGACACTGCTGCAGTAAATGTCTCCTAAACGGTGCACATTTAGGAGATAGTTACAGTATCTACAGGGAAGACTTATTAGAGGCTTACTAGGTAAACCATAAAAAATAGGGTTTACTTCCACCTTAAAGTTGTATATTGCACATGCGGGGGGGAAGAGTTTTAACAAAGAGATAACTGGGGAATGTTTATTTTATTCTGTAAAATATATTAAGCTAGAAATGCTGAGGGTTTAATACTACTTTGATATATCTAGTGCACCATTACCAAGCGCCATGTTTTAAACCCCTCAATACAAGCGAGTTTATTCATTTCCAAAAAGTTAAAGTAAAAAAAGGGTAATTTCAGGGTTTTTCCCAAATGTTTGTCTCTTTTCAATATATAGTAAACAGTAAAAACTCACTGGTTAATAAATGCCACCAAAAGAAAGCTTTCTCTGTCTCAAGAAAATTATATCAAATTAATTTGGGTACGGTGTTGCATGACAGAGTAGTCAAAGTATCCCAAAGTATTGCTGAAAACTGAAAAATGTCCTGGTAATGAAGGGGTATTACAGGCTGGTACTCCAATGGTTAACATAACGTATGATATGCTGCACATTGACCTATCAGAAAAAAAAAAAAACCCCTGCCTCTCGAAATGACAGATGAAAGTTGTATTCAGATTGGTTGCCTTGGAAAATATGGACCGTCTGGGACAGTTCGCACCTCAGACACTTTGTTAACTACCACCCATTTTATTTTTGTAACACTGATTACAGTACAGAAGCCTACATTTAAAACCACAGCACCCGAAATTGCTGGCGCTCTAAAATGTTTTGGTTTGCTAACAACATAGGACAACACATAAACCACGCGTTCTTAGTGGAGGACAGCGCGAAGGGTGTACTAACATGTATGAAGTTTCCTAGCAGATAGTTAATTGTGATCCAGCCATAGGCCCCCTCTTCTTGTCCTGTAATTATTCTGGCACCTTGAAAATCAAAGGGAGACGATCGTAATGTGTTTTCTACAGATGCGAGGACCTCATCTGCCACCCTGGAGTTCGTAAGCCTAGGAGAAAAGAAAATATGAGAAGTGAACACAGAATAATACATGCTTATTCAATATGATGCCGCAACCAATCACAATAAAGTTTACTCTTATACTCCCCACCTAAAGTAAAAACTAAAACTAAAGGATAAACTTTTTTTTTGCAGTTTGGAAAATTGAACCCCTGACAGTTTTTTTTTGCCCTCTGTTTCCCACTGCCAAAACAGGAGGTAAGAGGAAACCCCTTCAAAGTGAGAAAATCCCTGGTGTCCCAATTGAAAAATTCCTCCTCTATTCCTCTTCTGGTGACAACACAAAATTTGGGATTCTCTTCACTTTTGGTGATGACGGTAAACATGAAAAATAGAGAGAGTGACACAGACAGTAAATAAAATCCATAGAGTAGTACATTGATGACATGATGGGGTATATTTACTAAAACTGGAGAGTGCAGAATCAGGTGCAGTTGTGCATGGTAGCCAATCAGCTACTTCGCCTAAGCTTTGGTGATAAAAACCTGGAAGCTGATTGGTTTCTATGCAGTGCTGCACCAGATTTTGCACAATCCAGTTTTAGTAATTACATACATAGTTAGTCTGGTTGAAAAAAAGACACAAGCCAATCTAGTTTAACCAATAAAACCCCCAAATATATTTACGCTGCATTGATAGTGTCCCTATGGGACATCTGGGTGATAAGCGGGCTGTTTTTGTACACCGATGGACTCCCAGGATGTGAAGATAGCATTTGCATCTAAAATTGAAGCACCACATCAAAATATTTGAGTCTAAAGTATGGTTTTGTGCCAAACATATATTGGGTAACAAAGCCAAAGCTTGTACCAATTACCGTCACTGGGGGGGGGGAATGAAGTGATCACAACACTTTTTTGATGGTATGGCCCCTTTAACATGGCCAGCTTCCAACTGATAAAGGTTTTGTACAAGTTTCTGTACCAACAGACACATGCACCAAATCCAGGTAGTTCTTACTACCGCAACTTTTGAGAACCTGACACTACAGTTGCGAGAGATTAATAAAGAATTACTACCAGTTAGCAAATAAGCGTACTGGTGTTAAGTCCAACTATGTATTGGATCACAGAGAGAGGTTAGTGCTCAGTGGTGGGCCAGGTAAACAAAGGGGTGGGAATGCTGCCTGACATAATTGTCCGGATATGGCTATATTTGGGTAATGATGTCACCCTTTGGTTACTATCAGCTGTTGGCCGGGGAATCTCCCAGTTGGCAGCTGAATGGGGCTGGAGATAAGCCATCTCTTGCTATAAGCTGACAATGTCCTAGCTAGCAAGGGGCTGAACATGCTCTGTGCAGCTCCCTCTCTCCATGCAACAGATTAATGTATCTGTTACCAACAGGCAGGGGCAGACTGACCATTTGGAAACTCGGGCACTGCCCAAGGGCCCGGGGTCAGCAGGGGGCCCCATGAGATGCCCCTGGTACCTTTTTCATAGGCTTTTTTGAGTTTGGGCAAGGACACAGGGGCCCCATTATGCCCTATTGCTCGGGGGGTCCCATGAGTTGTCAGTCCGCCCCTGCCAACAGGTACATGAATGTGTTGTCTGCATTGACATTCGTCTATGACACTCTTTAAGAATTCCTCAGACTATGTCTACGGCAGTGGTTCTCAACCACAAGACTGTGACCCACTGCTGGACCAGGGCCTAACTTCTTCTGGGCAACAAGCCAGCTGCAGATCCCCAAACCTGCCACAGTGCTTCAGGCATACACCAATGACATCTCCAGGTCCCCACCGCTAAAGTAAACAAAGGGGTGGGGTCACATGGGGGACATCACTAACCAAATATGGACATGTTCACATTTGGTCAATGTTGATAACCGGATGGTCTCTTCCCCTTTGTTCACTCTAGCACTCACTTTCCTTTTGTTTTTTTGCCATTGCCTCTTAAAATTCATATCAGACCCAAAGGGCCTGGCATGGATTGTGAGGGAACCCCCAAGCCATTTGTTTTTTTCAACCATTGTCCCTGCTCCTTGGTTTGCATTCACCATCTGACAGCTAAATGATCCAGGCAGGGATGAGTCTCTGGTTTCTAGGAAGCCAGCGGGTGCCAGCTTCCCGACAACGAGTGTCGCTGAGCAGTAGCTGTCACAGTTAGTAGCGGTAGTAATACTGCTAATAAATGATTCACTTCCTGCTGCAATTAAATTAAATAAAATTAGTCACTATTTATTGAGGTAATGCGCAAGGTTTGTGCGCTCTTTCTTTCATCTCCTTCTACAGTTTTGTCAGGCTTCCCCAGCTTCAAACTCCCGTTTGATCTGAGTCTTTGAGCGCAGGAGATAATGGATCTTTGTTAACTCACTTCCTGCTGCAGCCAGAGGTCCGGTCTGCAATAAAATAAAGTTTTAAAAATGTGCTAAATACCACAAATTAAAAAAAAAATTAAAGCTTGTGAATTGTCTGCTTCTGAGATAAATAGATTATTTTTTGTAACTTAAGTAACCTCTTCACTTTTGATATGACACTAACATGTAAAAAAAAATGGACAATCATTAATTTGATATTCTCATTGTGTGTACATGGCTTAATCCTGCTTTATTCAAAACAAAAAAACAAAGTTTTGCTTTAGATAGACTATATTGCCAAAAGTATTGGGACGCCTGTCTTTACATGCACATGAACTTTAACCTCCCTGGCGGTATGATTATTTCAGATTTTTGGTGCTGAAAGCGGTACCATTTTTTTGCATGGAAATATGTATTTTTTTTATTGTAGGCTGTAATTTTTAGGAAAAACTCACTGAAATCTGTCCGAAAAAGAGTCTAGTAAACATCCCGGGTATGGTAAAATTTGAAACACAAAATCATAAATTATAATTTAATAAATAATCATAAAAATAATATAAAAATAATAAAATATTTAATTCAATAATATAATCAAACCAAAAACACTGAAATGTGAAATAGAGCGCCAAGTTTGCACATTGCTGAGCTCAGTCGCAAAATCGTTTTCAGTTTCTGATGACGAATTTCCCCACGAATCATTATCACTCAATTCTGCAAGTGGTTCTGATTTACTATCGCTGTTCTCTAGCTGGTCTAAACCGCTTTTGACCTAAAGGGACACTTTTTGGACGCCATGGACATTTCTCAGTTTCCAGGCAGAAAGAACAGACAAAATGCAGGCAGGGCACAGGACAAAGCACTCGGGACAATATGTATGTGAAATAGGTTGAAACAGCAATGTTTTACTGTGTAAAATGAAAAAAAAAAAAAATGACATTTTTTAAAATTTTTAAATTTCCCGCCGCCGCCGGCGGCGGCGCCCGTACGTCCCGACGTCACAGGGACAGGACACAGAAGCCGGATGCCGGCATCGGCCGGAGGAGATGGCCGGGGACGCTGCAGGGGACACATCGCGGGAGCGCAGGGTAAGGTAAGTGAAGAACACATGCCGGAGCAGTGCCGCATGGTATTCCCGAGTGTAGCTCGGGGTTACCGCTTTTGGTACTGAAATGTTACCCCGAGCTACACTCGGGAATACTGCCAAGGAGGTTAATGGCATCCCAGTCTTAGTCCGTAGGGTTCAATATTGAGTTGGCCCCGCCCTTTGCAGCTATAACAGCTTCAACTCTCCTGGGAAGGCTGTCCACAAGGTTTAGGAGAGTGTCTATGGGTAAGTTGGACCATTCTTCCAGAAGTGCATTTATGAGGTCAGGCACTGATGTTGGACGAGAAGGCCTGAGAAAGCAGTCTCCACTCTAATTCATCCCAAAGGTGTTCAAGGTTGAGGTCAGGACTCTGCGCAGGACAATCAAGTTCCCCCACCCCAAACTTGCTCATCCATGTCTTTATGGACCTTGCTTTGTGCACTGGTGCGCAGTCGGAGCCATCCCCAAACTGTTCCCACAAAGTTGGGAGCTTGAAATTGTTCAAAACCAACTGTCCACCTGTGAGCCAATACAGTGAATTCTCTGCAAACACAACCCAAAAAATATTCAATAAACATATATTAAATCAAAAAAATTTTTTTTAGGTTCGCAAACACATCACACCAACTCATACAATAGTGTCAATCAATATATAGATAAATAATGTGCTGCGCTCCCCTATTATTATCATCAAAGACACATTGATTACATGTAAAAAAGAAACTAAAATAAAATCTAATATAAATAAAGTGTGAAAAAAACAAAACAAAATGTGAAAAAAAACAAATGTCCACTGTGCTTATACAATCCCTTTATACTATGGAAATAAATGTATCATTGTATATCCAGAGACTGATACATAAGAGTCCTCTTTCTTTTTGAGAAATCTGTGCTAATTAGATGAATACACTCCAGGTTCCAAAAACTTTTGCAGCATAAATACAGCTCAGCTTCAAACAATCTCTCCAAACCGCAGTTTTCCTGGTAAACCATTTTCCCCTGATGAAGCCATGTGACCGGTGGCGTAACGCGTAGGGGAGGGGCTCTGACGTCACAATGGACATTTGTTTTTTTCACATTTTGTTTTGTTTTTTTCACACTTTATTTATATTAGATTTTATTTTAGTTTATTTTTTACACGTAATAAATGTGTCTTTGATGATAATAATAGAGGAGCGCAGCACGATATTTATCTATATATTGAAATTGTTCAAAATGTCTTGGTATGCTGACACCTTAAGAGTTCCCTTCACTGGAACTAAGGGGCCAAGCCCAACTCCTGAAAAACAACCCCACACCATAATCCCCCCTCCTCCAAACTTTACACTTGGCACAATGCAGTCAGGCAAGAACCATTCTCCTGGCAACTGCCAAACCCAGACATGTTCATTGGATTGCCAGACGGAGAAGCGCGATTTGTCACTCCAGAGAACTCATCTCCACTGCTCTAGAGTCCAGTGGCAGCGTGTTTACACCACGGCATCCAACGCTTTGCATTGCACTTGGTGATGTAAGGCTTGCAGCTACTCGGCCATGGAAACCCATTCTATGAAGCTCTCTATGCACTGTTGTTGTGCTAATCTGAAGGTCACATGAAGTTTGGAGTTCTTTAGCTATTGGCTTGGCAGACAGTTGGCGACTTCTGAGCACTGTGCGCTTCAGCATGCACTGACCCAGCTCTGTCATTTTATGTGGCCTACCACTTGGTGGCTGAGTTGCTGTTGTTTCCAGTTGCTTCCACTTTGATATAATACCACTAACAGTTGACTGGAATATTTAGTAGCCAGGAAATGTCACGGGTTGACTTATTGCAGAGGTGGCAACCTATCACGGGACCACGCTGGGAGTCACTGAGCTCCTGAGAGCGACCCATTCTTTCACAAATGTTTGTAGAAGCAGTCTGCATGCCTAGGGGCTTGATTTTATACACCTGTGGCCATGGAGGTGATTGGAACACCTGAATCCAATGATTTGGAGGGCTGGCCCAATACGTTTGGTAATATAATGTATATTTAATAAAGACAAAGTAAAATAAAGCTTATGTACACAGCTGAGAGTTTTTAGTGACTTGCTTCATGAGCTGGCTTAGGGGGACATTGATAATACCTGAGTAGCCGCATTCCAGCAGTGGCTCCTAAGTACACGGGAGTCTCTTTGTGCTTACTCACTGGAATAATGTCTCGTGCTTTGTTCATACATGCCTGCAGAGAGAGGCCAGCCTCCACCGGCTTCTCATGGTAGCTAGATATACCATTGCCTGTCAAAAAAAAAAAAAAAAAAAAAGAAAACACTTCAGATAAAAACATATGCCCAATCATTAAATCTCATACAAGTTTTGACATGTTAAGTTGATTAAAAGAATGATTTTATTATTTGTAAATTGTCAGTTTTCATTAAAATAATACCTAGTGATCCTGACATGAAGATCCTCATTCAGACATCTCCTGTTTTAGGGTGACAACGTCCTTTCCCTGTCTCCCAGTTGTGCTTTTAAGTTGTCACCCTTTGACACACTCCCCCAAAAAGAGACTACAAACAGCCATGCCAATGCACATTGCACAAGTGTGGTCTGCTATCATCACCATATTATTCCTAACAAATGCCATGCAGCCATCGTTTGGGTATGTAGACTGGTAGAGGCTGCAAAGAGATTTTAGGAGAACAGCAGGACTGATATTTAGCAAAGGATGAAAATATGTCAAAACAGTGGGGTTGATTTACTAAAGACATATAAGCTCTTCAATTTGCAAGAGGATTTTCATTTTGCAAGTGAATTTACCCTTAGCTTAGTGAATCAGAAGAATCTCCGATGGTTTCCATCATCAATCATGTGTAAGCAAGATACAGCTTTTTTTTTTCCTTGCATGGGATTGGGTATTCTTTGTAAAGTGAATTTTCACCACAGTCACTAAGCTCTGGGGAAAAATCCCTTACAAAGTGAACAGCCTATTTGCCTTTGGTAAATCAACCCCAGTACTTTATGGAACAAAAAGGAAGGGAAGCTGTGACAAGGTTGTAGGAAGAGGAACATGTGCATTGCCAACTTTCCTTCAAAAAATGCCATCCGCCTGGTTGCTCATGCAATGGCCTTAATGCTTTGGGTCACTGACTTGGAACAATGACAAAGATTAGGAGTTTTGCACATTTGTTGGCACATTTACATTAAAGTGTATGTAATCCCTACTCTCGGTTGCTCCCTTTTGGTTAAATACCTACTGATCCTGCCAGAAATCGTGAGAACTGATAGCATCCTGTGCTCTCTGTCTACCCACATAGAAGGTTTATGGAGATGAAGAGGGGTGAGAGAAATCTGGGCAAGCAGAGGCAGCGGGAGGCAGAGGCAGGAAGGCATGACCGTGTCTGTCCCCCCTGGCTCCTTGTGATTTAATGCCGGATGGTGGGAAAAAATGCTTTGGGAGTGGCTTTTATACACATGTCCACTGTGCACCATGACGTCACATGCAGGCTCACACAGTGCAAGTACGCAACATCCTGACCTGCCCCGCCGATGCACGGCCCAAGTAGCATTCGGCCACCTGCAGGACTGCACAGTTGCAGTTTCAAAGCCCACTGCAGCCATATTTTTTATGGGCACTCGGTGCCCATTCTTGGACATTTACAGACAGGTAAAAATCGTACACTTTTTACAAGCTGTCCATATATTTACAGGTGGTTGGCAACTCTGGGTCTGTGTTCTTTGTAATCCATCAGTAATGAAGTAGGCAGGGCTGACACCACATGCTTAGGAATTCTGAAATGTGCTTTCATGTCAAAGAAGGAAGGTGCACACTATATTTCTGGCACATTGATGGTTATCTTTAAATAATTTATACATTTTATATAAAGGTTTAAAGGAATAAAGCATGGTGAAATGTGTAAGTATTGCAAAGATATATAAAATATATTTTTTTATAGTGCCCTGATATACACTTACGTTTATACTTTTGTTATGCAATGTTGAAGATATTTAGTAGTTAACATGTTGCATAGTGTGTGTTCGCTAATGCATCACATTAGTGTGAATAGGCCCCACCAGATAAATCCCCATTGGAATATTTCTCAGCTATTTCTGTGACAACAAATTTGGATCTCCCATTACTTTTTGTAGTGGAGACAGAGATTACCAGGACAATGATTGTCCCCAGAAGTGACAGGGGTTCAAACCTTTCTCTACTGTATCAAAAACTAGAAAGGTTTCGGCTTTGGAAACCTTTTACCAATATGAAAATACATTCAATTATCTTTTCAGACTGGTCATTTAAAGCAGTAAGAGAAGTAAATGTTACCAGATCACTAGCTACACTATTATAACTATATTAATTGTAATATAGTTAACGATCCATAATGATATTTCTTACTGAATTAAAAAGGGAAGAGTATTTTCCCACTGTTAATTTCATTTCCCGTGAAGAAAGCATAAGCCGGGTACAATTTTCACATAAGCCGACGCACTGATGAACCCCGGTCAGTGACCGTGAGCAATCAGTTCTCAGCGTGTACTTTGGTCACTTTGTAATTTATAATTTTCTGGATATCTGTCAGACTTAATATTGGCAGACATACAGCTCTGGCACTAGGAGACAGAAATAAAATAAACACTTCAGAAATCTGCTGTACTTTCCTTTAGGTCCAAATTTAACACTGATGGATGATGGCCAAAACGTATGTTTTATCCAACTGGTATTCACAGCTTTGGACTAAATTAGAAGAAAAAGGCTTTTCATATGAATTTCACTCACATTAATCACTCACGATATCCAATTTTAGCAACCCTCTAGAGTGCATCCTCCTTCTGTAGTTTAAATTAGTCATAAGCATGGATGAGTGGGGGATAAAGATGTACAAACAAACAAAGGTAGCCACAGATACATTAACTCCTTTCGTGACGGGGCTCCAGGGTCCAGTAACAGTTCTCTAGACCTTGCTTATTTCAAGACAAGGTAGGTTCCAAATATGACAATGGACATTCACAAATGTTTTCATAGCTTTGTCTGTGAAAGTTCACATTTATCCAGGTCATGGTATATCTAGTGGTTGTTAGTCAAAGTCAACTAGACTTGCTCTGTAATGTTGAAGAAGTTTCATAGTTTATCTAAGCCACCTAGAAAAGGGAAAAACTGGCTTTGATGAGTCACAAAACATTTTCAACATTACGGAACAAGTCCAGTTGAATTGGCTATCTACGACTATGTAGAGTAGGGGATAGTTAAAACCCCGGTCTGCATGTGTCTCTTTGGGAAAATGACTCAGACCCATAGTCAAAGTCAACTAGACTTGTTCTGTAATGTTGGAGATGTTTCATAGTTTATCTAAGCCACCTAGAATGGAAGATGTGACTTGGATGAGTTACAAAACATTTTCAACATTACAGAACAAGTCCAGTTGAATTGACTATCTACTTCTAGATAGAGTAGGCAATAGTTAAAACCCCTGTCCTGCCTGTCTCTCATGGGGAAAGTGACCCACAGACCCACTGTCAAAGTCAACTTGACTTGTACTGTAATGAAGATGTTTCGTAGTTCATCTAACCCACCTAGAATGGAAGAAGTGGTTTGGACAAGCTACGAAATTTCTTCAACATTACAGAACGAGCCAGGTGAATTGACTATCTACTATTAGATAGAGTAGTGGATGGTTAAAACCCCTGTCCTGCCTGTGTCCCATTGGGAAAAAAAAGCCATAGACACAGCAGGAAGTAGAAGAAAATCTCTCCCAAATGAGGGAAGTGTCTTTTTAGACAGTTGCTACCAGAATGAGTGTGTCTACAGGAAGATTTCCCCTATATTTGTGTTCCAGTAACAACTAAAAGTTTTGGATTTTCCTTCACTTCCAGTCCTGACAAAGCTCACCAGGACAAATAGAGGAATGGGTCACCCTAGCAGGGACACAAACATAAAGAAAAATCTAAGAATATGCAAATAGGTGCTAGATCATAAAGTGAACAGTCCAAATTTAAACAAAATTTGAAGACCAAAATGTTCATCGTGTTTCGAGCAGCAACAAAACTTCTTCTTTTATCAGAGCTACAAAACAGACATGAAACATACAAAAGGCGAGTTACTGGGGTTGATTTGCTAAGGGAAAAAAGACTCTTTCACATTCCAAGGGAGGTTGCATTTGCAAAAGAATTTTTCTCAGAATTTAGTGAATGGGGCAAAGCTCTGTTAATTTCCATCATCCAATCATTTGTTGTTTTTACTATTTCAGCAAAACTGTTGTTTTTTTAATCCTCCTTGTACATGATTGGATATCCTTTGGAAATTGAAATCTCACCGCATTCACTATTCTTCCAGGGGAAAGTTTCTTGTAAAGTGAACAGCCTATTTGCCATTATTAAATCAACCCCCTCGTGTCCATATGTACATGTGAATAAAAATGAATACAAAGCATATTATAAAAAGTGTCCCATGTCATAGTAAACCATAAAAACATAAAACAGACACAGTGAAATTGTAAACTTGGATAAAATATCATGAACTCAAACAATAAAACTGCTACCCTTCATATCCTGTTATACCTAAACTACAGGGCAGTATCTAAATGGGTGTAGTTTTTTGGTCATATTGTGACCCATTCAGAAAATGCAGGTTGCAGCATTGAGTCTTAACGCAACAGTACTCAGTGATTGCAGGAAAGCTAATCACATGACTTTGGCAGGACACTCAGCTCTTCTGCTGTTCTTTTCTTTCAAAATCTATTCATCTTAAAAACGTTCAGAGTCACAAAGCCAGCAGAGCGCTAAGCACCTTGGTGTGATTTATAAATGTGCAGTATTTTTTTAAAGCAATGGTATGGCCACAATAAAGCCATACATCTATAGTTTAAGTATAAAACGAGCGCTTGATATGAGTAGAAAAAGCAGCTAGCATGAAAGGCAAAACCCCTAAACCTTCTGGAAAACATATCAATTCAACATGCAGCGCTAAAAGAAACAGTATTAAAGTCCATGTAGGAAAACACCAAAATCTCTCAATGTGATATTGATAATGGTTCACAAATGAATAGTAGCCTCTATGGTAGGTAAAATAACTCAAAAACGCAATATAGCGTTTTGCGGGTAAGTCTAATAAGAAACAACCACACTAGGCTTTACAAAAATGCATGCATGTAGTGTAGTGAAAATCAATCATTAATAATCAGTGGACATCCGTGAAAATGGTGATATGGTGAACAAGTGTAGATTGCACTAACCAGATAGCGCATAACAATGCGCATTTGAGTAATTAAACCAACTCCTGGTCATCCACATCTAAGCATCTGGAACGCCGGGTCATCTGGTGGGCATCCACAGGATCTACAGCGCACCATCAAGGCTTCCAGGTATCAGAAGTACAATCATGTGAACACCAGAGGGAGCCAACACTTGCAGTGTGAAGTCATCATGGGTCTCCTTAGAAAGGAAGGCTCATAACAAAATGAGCCCAAGCACAAAGATTTCCCATAGTGCAGTAATGCTTTAATATGATCAAGGGTTAACAGTAGTAAACCAGAGGAAACCGCGTGGTATGATGTCCCTTCCTTAAGGAAGCTGCCCTCAGTGACGTCATACCACGTGGTTTCCTCTGAATGGCCGGCAGCCATCTTTAATACTGATATTTTATTCAAAGTGTGAGTTAATTTACTTTTTACTACTGTTAACCCTTGATCATATTAAAGCATTACTGCACTATGGGAAATCTTTGTGCTTGGGCTCATTTTGTTATGAGCCTTCCTTTCTAAGGAGACCCTTGATGACTTCACACTGCAAGTGTTGGCTTCCTTTTGTGTTCACATCATTGTACTTCTGATACCTGGAAGCCTTGATGGTGCGCTGTAGATCCTGCTGATGCCCAGCAGGTGACCCGGCGTTCCAGATGCTTAGATGCAGATGACCAGGAGTTGGTTTAATTACTCAAATGCGCATTGTTATGCGCTATCTGGTTAGTGCAATCTACACGTGTTCACCATATCACCATTATCACGGATGTCCACTGATTATTAATGATTGATTTTCACTCCACTACATGCATTTTTGTAAAGCCTAGTGTAGTCGTTTCTTATTAGACTTACCCGCAAAACGCTATATTGCGTTTTTGAGTTATTTTGCCTACCATAGAGGCTACTATTCATTTGTGAACCATTATCAATATCACATTGAGAGATTTTGGTGTTTTCCTACATGGACTTTAAAGCCATACATCTGTTTTACAAATCCCCAATCAGACTGGCACAACATAACCATCCTTAGGCCAGGAAATCCAGAAAACACAGTCAACCTAGCTAGATGATGCATGGCCAACACATGGGGCCACTCTGAGCAGGATGTGACGGGTTCACTCCAATGGGATTCTGTTGAGTGGTAGAAATACAAGTTGTCCAGATTTACTAACCTTCTACTTTACATTCTTCTACTTGTTGAACAACGCCTGTGTCATTTTCCTTCTCCGCTGGCCATCGATAGATGTATACACTGGTGTGTGAGGATCCAGCATCTAGCACAATACCATACTACAGAAGACACAACAGACAATTAGATACTTATAATGGTCAAGGTTCCACAAATGCATGGCCATGTAACGTATCTTAAGCTTTTACTTTGTTTATATAAATCCTCCGAGTGCCTGGGCTTCCATCACACATCGACACACATGGTTAGTATGGGCTAAGTATAGGCTGGTACTGTGAGACGAGTAAAAGCTGTCTAATGGGGTAATGGTGTATATAATCTTCTACATTTGTCAGCATGTTTAGCCCTGGAATCTCTCCCAGACTTGGTAAATGGTACGTTACAGTCTGAAGCTGACACTAATGATCTTCTCTCTTGTAGAAAAGGCGCACAATGAAAATAAAGACGGCGGGCGCAGATAAGGGATGTTATTGAGTAGGCTCTGCCATTTTAATTATGTGTTACCATTCTCAAACACCAAGCTTTCTTGAAGGATGTTGTATGACCTGGCATTCTCCAACTAACATTGTTATTAATGTTACATCTATAAAGTCACAGAGTAACTATAGAGGACGTGGTCCAACAACACAATTACAGGGTCCCTGGCTCCCAATCTCCATCTTGAAGAGGTTCTGTCACCAAATGCAGGTGAAAGCAGAGAAAAACTGAGTATCTGAAATGCTTACTTGCAGTGTTTTTTCTTTCCATAAATTATTTTTTTTCACTTGGCTCCTCTGCCACTTGCCTCACTTCCTTACATACATTTTTTTTGTTTTTTTAATTCTTTATATAAGTTTTTAAAAACTTACAGCAAAAAAAATCACAGCAGGATTAAACTGAAAGCAAAAATGGACCTTGGCACTTACATAATGTTTTATATAGCTTCTGGGAGGGCGAACAGAGGGGAATGTTATAAAGTGCCATTTGGGTGACAGCTGAGTCTGCTGGGGGTTGCTGATATTACATCCAAGATGGTGGTGCTCAGCAGCAGTTTCAGGGCTTTTAGATGTCTACATAAAGGAGGCTTTAACAGTTAAACTGGTAGGAAGTGCAATTTTTAATCTACAGAAAGGTTTATCTACAGGTACAGTGAATATCTCCTAAACTTGCACTGTTTAGGAGATATTCACATGAGATGAAGCCTGAAGGGACGACCGTACCTTCCGAGCTCCGTGCTTCAGCCATGACTCCTGTTCGCATGTGCGGGAGTGACGTCATCGTGACTTGGCCATTCATACAGCCAGAATACGGAAGGAGGTTCGGGTGATGATGGAAGCCCTGTCAGTGATGACAGCGCACCACTGGAGGGCTTCATTTTAAGGTAAGTATACCATAATTTGCTACTATGGTGGTGCATACTAGCACATTATACCATTAACTTACAGATGGACTTTTATTTCTTTACATATTTTACTACCGCTTTAAATAATATCTCTACAATATATTAAATGCACACAGGAGGAAGATTTTCACTAAGAGAAGATGAATCAGCACAAGGACCACATCCTACTGACTGTAAGGTATGTGTTATTTTAAGGTGGGTAGGGGGTAGAACCAAGGGACAGTGCTCAGGTGGGTAGGGGGTGGAACCAAGGGACAGTGCTCAGAGGTGGGTAGGGGGTGGAACCAAGGGACGGTGCTCAGAGGTGGGTAGGGGATGGAACCAAGCGACGGTGCTCAGAGGTGGGTAGGGGGTAGAACCAAGGGACGGTGCTCAGAGGTGGGTAGGGGGTTGAAACAAGGGACAGTGCTCAGAGGTGGGTAAGGGGTGGAACCGAGGGACAGTGCTCAGAGGTGGGTACGTGGTGGAACCAAGGGACAGTGCTCAGAGGTGGGTAGGGGGTGGAACCAAGGGACAGTGCTCAGAGGTGGGTAGGGGATGGAACCAAGGGACAGTGCTCAGAGGTGGGTAGGGGGTGGAACCAAGGGACAGTGCTAAGAGGTGAGTAGGGGGTGGAACCAAGGGACAGTGCTCAAAGGTGGGTAGGGGGTGGAACCAAGGGACAGTGCTCAAAGGTGGGTAGGTGGTGGAACCAAGGGACAGTGCTCAGAAGTGGGTAGAGGGTGGAACCAAGGGACAGTGCTCAGAGGTGGGTAGGGGGTGGAACCAAGGGACAGTGCTCAGAGGTGAGTAGAGAGTGGAACCAAGGGACAGTGCTCAGAGGTGGGTAGGGGGTGGCACTAAGGGACAGTGCTCAGAGGTGGGTAGGGGTGGAACCATGGGCCAATGCTCAGAGGTGGGTAGGGGTGGAACCATGGGCCAATGCTCAGAGGTGGGTAGGGGGTGGAACCAAGGGCCAATGCTCAGAGGTAGGTAAAGGGCAGAGACAAGGTGTGCCAGGGGGGAGCACCTGCAGCTATTCTCTGAGAAATAATCCCTGTATGAAACACAATAAGCAAATGGAACAACAAGGAAGAAAAACCGTTGAGGTTGCACCAACTATTACTTACAGTAATGACTCAAAATGTATACTTTCTGAAAATACACTGCATGCTCCCTTTAAATAGGGTCAATTCACAAAGCTAAAACACTAAGATAACAATACTAATTTAAAAAAAAAAGCGACAGGGTTTTTTTTTAGCTTAGTCCAATCAGATATGAAAATTACAGCCAAATAGCTGAAAATAAAGATACTGATCTTTGCATAAAACTTAGTGAATTTAGCCTAATGCCATTGCAGAGATCTGTGGTTTTCTAATACTATGACTAACATTGCGTCATACTAACTGCCTTCATCACAATCTGATAGAGGAGTCTCGTATATACTTAAATTACAATTACAACCTGGATTGTAATTCAGTAGCCAGACTGTAATCATGTCCCCTGTGCTCTCAGTCACGCAGTTTGCTATGGCTGTAGATACTATATGGCCAAACCAATGTTGAAAGCTCACCTTGTCATTCTGTTCAGGTGTTTCAAGTGAAGAGTACTGATAATGCCAGAGTATACAAAATCATTTTACACAATTATGTGTTTGCAACTTTGTGATAACATTTTTGGGATGGCCCTTTTCTGTGCTAGTATGACCTCAACCCTACTGAACCCCTTAGGGATGAATTGGAATGCTGATTGTAAGCCAGGTCTTCTCATCCAACACCAGTACCTGACTTCACAAATGGGCACAAGTTTCCAAAGGCAAAGTCCAAACACTCGAAAATCTTGCAGAAAACCTTCCTAAAAGTTGTTTTAACTACAAAGAAAGAGACATCTCCACATTAATGACCATGGTTTTGCAATGCAATGTCCAACAAGCTCATATACTGTAAGTGTGATGGTCAAGGTTGCACAAACATTTGGCCACATAGGGGTTGATATAGTAAAGAAAAATAGATTGTTGACGTTGAAAGTGCTCGGCAAGGGAATTTGGGCAAAAGCATACTGAATGTGGTGAAGCAAAGAATACCCAATCACATGCAAGGAAAATAAAAAAAACTGCATTTTTGCCTGAATGTGATTGAATGATGGAAGTCAGCAGAGCTTTAGCTCATTTACTATACTTCGGAGCAAATTCCATTGCAGAGTGCAACTGCTCTTGTATAGTGAATGGTCTATTTGCCTTTAGTAAATCAGCCTCATTGGGGTTGATTTACTAAAACTGAAGAGTGTAAAATATGGCGCAGCTCTGCATAGAAACCAATCAGCTTCCAGGTTTTATTATCAAAGCTTAATTGAACAAGCTGAAGTTAGAAACTGATTGGCTACCATGCACAGCTGCACTGGATTCTGAGTGCTCCAGTGTTACCAAATCTTCTCATAGTGTCCCTTATGCAGGCCATAGACGGGTCAAACATCGGCCGATTTTTCGAACGATAAACGAAAAATCAGTTGTTCGTTTGGCCGACGTTACCACCAACGAATAAAAAAATAACTTCTGCCCCTTTCAGGTCACAGCTCATGCGCAGATTTTTTATTGTTAAAACGATCGTCCAATTTGGCCATCATTGCCAGGAAAATTGGCCGATCGTCCAAATCGGCCGCAAATTTCCCAACATAACCAATAATCTGAAAGTGCAAAATACACAAAAAACAGCCGACGAACTAATCCACTAACGGCACGAAAATCGGCCGATTTTTCTTTCGTCCGAAAAATTGGACGATTAACGACCCATCTATGGCCTGCATAAAAAGGGCTGCTTGGGGAGAGGCCCATAGCGGTGGAGCACTTGGTCTAAGTTTAGAATAAAAGGCATTATAGGAAAGAATATCGAGGTGGCAGCTTATCCTCCCATATGACAGTCACATGCATTTTCCTTTCTTGAAATCTTCTTAAACATTTATACAGACCAGCGACATTAGAGGGATATTTTAACATATTTTTAACAAACACGTAGTATGAAAGTCATTTCACAAGTTTTATCTTTCAGATACAGACTGGTAGATTATCCTTCTAGGGCCTATATCTGCAAAGCAAACACTTACATCACTGTCTCAACTGAATAACTGCCGACATTAAATGAATTTAATATTTTCTATCAGTCTAAGCTGTACTATAGAAGTACTTTCAGACAGAACACCTTAGGGCTCATGTACACTGCAGCTGCTAAACCGACGTTCAGGAGCTGTTCAGCATTTTTTTCAGCAGCCCCTGAACTCCCCCTAACGTTTTCCTATGTGTCCATGTACACATCGTCGTTTACAGGCAATTGAGTTTACAGTGGTTTTTTTGAACGCGCCAAACTTACATTCAGGAGTAGATTTTACTGGCATTTTCAAATGCCAAGCCTGTAAACGCATGTAAACGATTAACTGCATTTATAAGCATTTGCGTTTAGAAGTGTTTTTTTAACTGTTCCATGTCCAGATGCTGTCCAGAGCCTTTTATCATCATCAGAAATGCATTCAAAATGTTTTCCATGTATTCAAATGGACCCGGTACACCAGCGCAGTCAGTTCCAAGTTTCACGTGAAGGAAAAAATGGTAGAACGTGCTGCATTCTGCTCATGATGGGATCCATAGTGAATACAACCAGAAAAGACAGGTCATCTCAACACATACTGCTCTCTCTGCTTCTGCTCTCTCTATTTCCCTCCAAATGTCTGAAATAGTTAATTTTTACTATTTTTCAGTGCATTCCGGGCATTTAGGAAGGTCTCCTGAGGTTATCTTTTAAAAACACTTTTAAAACGTAAACGTGCATAAACGTGATATGCAAATGCAGCTAAACTGATGTTTTTTAACCTACGTTTTCCAGCAGTCAGTTTCCATCATTTCAAACGCATGTACATGAGCCCTTAAAATGTATGTAAACCCTAATAATTAACTTCTATTTGTTCCCTTTTGGTCTTTTAATTATACAATTGAAAGCATTTTGTTATCTCTGTTAGATCTTAAAAATATCCATCGATCCATCCTAAAATCCATTGCTCTCCTAACTGTCTTTGCACTCTGCCTCTGCTTCACTAAAATTTAAAACTTTGTTATCATTTCTTTCTAGTTCTCCTCTGTGGACTTCAGAACACCTCCATCTATGTTATGGGGATGGTGAGAGGGGGAGGTTTGCTGTAGTCCTGTTCTAGGGTGACAACACTGCTCCTCAATATATACAGTACAGTAAGTAAGCTTTATCTTCCTAGGACAGGAAGTGTGTTATTGGCAGGATCATCAGCTGAAAATAAAAGAAGCTTGTAAGAAAGAAAATGAATGCAGCCACCACACCTATGGACTGTTAAGCTGCAATGTAATAAAACTTTTCTTGGGTTTAGAAAATCTTCAAGTGGGAAGAACAGTAAAAGCTACTACCACTACTAAGAAGAAAACTTGGCATTCCCAAGCATATGATTACTCAACTATTCATAGAAATAAAATTGTAGAAATGTTCAAACAAATAGATAGGACTTATTGACATCAACCTAAACAATGCTTCTCTTTAAATATTTTCTGAATGGACAAAGTAACAAGTTCCCTCGATACAGAACCTTCCTGCCCCCACAACCTAATAATACCATTCTGCTCCACTGCCATGTTTTCTGTTCAGAAATTCCTGGTATTTTAAGATATGGTGGGAACATGTAATCTTCTCACCTTCCTCCCAGAATGCCCTGCTTAGACCTGATTGTTCAATTGCCAGGCCCAGATGCTATCAAATTGGGGGAAGGGAGATAGTCATTAACCCTCTGTAGGTTCTGACATTGACCATCATGAAGCTTACACATGTATTAGGCTCTGGGTTGAAGAACTCAGAGGCTGGAAAGTATCAGTGGGTGGAGGAGCCTTATGGTAGGTCCCCAAATGGGCAAGTTGACAGATCACCCTAATAGCACATCTGGGGGTTTTGCATCTAGAGATCATGTACTAACCTATAGACTCCAGAGAGAGAGATATCATATTACCCCGGTACAAATCATTAGTAACACCTCATCTGGAATATGCAGTTCAGTTTGGGGCACCAATTCACAAAAAGAACATTGGGGAACTGGAGAAAGTACAGAGCAGGGCAACCAAACTGATAAGAGGCATGGAGGAGCTCAGCTATGAGGAAAGATTAGAGGAACTGAATTTATTCTTTCTTGAGAAGAGGAGATTAAGGGGGGATATGATCTCCATGTATAATACATAAGGGGGGATATGATCTCCATGTATAATACATAAGGGGGGATATGATCTCCATGTATAAATACATCAGTGGCTCATATAGTGGACACGGTGTAGAGCTACTCACCCTGAGGTCATCACAGAGGACAAGGGGGCACTCTTTACGTCTGGAGGAAAATAAATTTAATCTCCAAACACAGAAAGGTTTCTTCACAGTAAGAGCTGTGAAAATGTGGAATAGACTCCCTCAAAGTTGGTTCTGGCCAGCTCAGTGGATTGCTTTAAAAAGTCCTGGATTGTTTCTTAGATACACAGAATATAACTGGATACTAACATTTATAGGTAAAGTTGATCCAGGGAATATCCGATTGCCTCTCGGGGGGTCAGAAAGGAATTCTTTCCCTGCAGGAGCAAATTGGATCATGCTTTGCTGGGTTTTTTTGCCTTCCTCTGGATCAACTGTGGGTGTAGGATTATAACTTTTTTTTTTTTTAATGGTTGAACTGGATGGACTTTTGTCTTTTTTCAGCCAGACTATGTATATATAACCTTTTGCCTAAACATTTGCAGAGTTATGTGATGGTACTTCCATTACCTTAAGATTCTCCGGGAGAGGTTTATTCTGTAGCACTGCGACAACAGTTAAAGCAACGATCCCCAAAACAAAGAAAACTCCAAGGATGAAAAGGGGGCCTTCTTGTTCCATGTCTTCTGTTTTGCAACTGTGACCAACCAAAAGAAAACAAAAATTGTGAGTGAGATTTGAAATGAACATTAACCATTGCAGATGGTGACAGAACAGAGGTCATGTTTAGAGGTCAAAGAACCCCACTAAACCCTTAGTATATTAACAGCTGTCTAGAGAATTATCATCCCTCATCATACACAGAAGAAAACTGTATATGAAGGTACCCATGTCATATGGGTTATTGGGAAGCGAAGAAACAGCATGGCCTTTAATGGGACAGCACAAAAAACAAATTACACCTTCATCTTATTTATTATGCTACGCAAACTTTCACTTTTCAAATGTATTACTAGCTTGAAAGAAATATGCAAATAAAGATGTCTGAGTTTACTCCAACTTTCCTTGTCTGAATATTTGTTCCAGGTCAGTACTGAGGCCACTGAACATTACAGCCTGGCAGTTAGCAGTTCAGATGGAGGTCAGCAATAGCAGCCCTATTTTCTCTAGTAGGTTTACTTTAATCACTTAAAAAAATAATTGTATCCTCAGTTATAGAGTGCAATGCCGGTGCTTCCACTAGGCAAACTAAGCGGCCGCCTAGGGCGCACTACCACCTAGGGGCGCCTGGGTAGGGCACAGGCCGGCATTCTCTCTGTGTAGGACGCTGCCACTTCATGAATGATCCTTCAGCTAAGAGGATTGGTGGCAGAGGGGAGGAAGAAAGGACAGAGGAAGATGCCAGGTGTCTGGGGCCAGTGTTCCTCTCAGACTCAGTCCCTTACTGCAAGCCGGCTGGTGGCTGCTGATCACTGTGGAGTTCCAGCCCTTCTCTTCCCATTCATTAGCGGAGGCAGAGCTGCACCTTCAGACGAAGATAATGTCTGACTCTGATGTCTCATGTCTGTGTGAGTGTGACCCAGCCAGCCGGCTGGCCATCCATCACATGTGCAATGTGTCAGTGAGTGATGACATCATCACAATCTCACAGCCTTCTCTTCTAGTGCCTGCTAGGCCTGCTGATCTGTGTCAGTGTTGATGGCGTGTTGTGTTGAATCTGTCACTGTGTGGAATCGCTCAGTTCAGCTGCCTGCTGTCAGAGAGTTTTATCTCCCCCCATTGCCTGGGGAATTCCAGCCTGGGATTTGTCAGAGTGTGGATCCATCATCCTCCACTCACTGCAACTATCACCCTGCCACTGCCAGCCACAGGTACTGTTCATCTGTGACATTTATTTTGTCTTTAATATTGGTGCTGGTAGCATCCTATGGCACTTATTTTTGCAAATTAAAAGAAATTTAGCAGTTTCATGTTTTTGTTGATTTAATATTTTCTACTGTTATTAAAATTATTTTTTTTTGGGGGGGGGGGGGGCGCAAGTAGCTGGTCTTGCCTAGGGCCCAAAATAGACTAGCAGCGGTCCTGGCTAAACCACTTGAATGTTAAGGACTCTACAGCAGTCTACATCCTGTCATATACAGCATGTACAATGAAAGTTTCAGAACATGTGGCAAACAGACACAACCACTGAAGGATACACTGTGTGGCTAGATTTTCAATCTTTATAAATCTGGCTGGGTGCATCATTAAATCTGGGCAATCCAGGAGACACATGACACTGCAGTGTAGGCTGTGAGCAGACTTCCTTACCTAGAAGGCTCAGTACAAAGCCTCTTCTTGCCTCCTTATTACAATGGTCCTGACTTTGGTCAATTTTAAACATTACTTAATTTCATTATGATTATGCTGTAAGGTATTCCCTCTTTCCTAGAATCCTTATATTCTTATTTCATATATTCTCTTTGTGCTGCGCAGCGTCTGGGTGTGGCACGGGCTCGATCGATCGGGCAATCAAAGTAACCAACACACAAGTAGGATACAGGAAGATTGCAAAGTTTATTACGTACATTACAGTATTCCCTCTTTCCTGGAATCCTTACATATACTATGTGGGAAATGTTTGTGGACAGCTCATCACACCACTGTAAGGTTAAATCATGCAGACACCCCTCTAAGTTCTCCAGAGCTTGTGGCAACTGTTTGGAGAAGGCCCTTGTTTGCGCCAGCATGAATACACCTTTTTGTACAAGGCCAACTCTATTAAAACATGGTTTGACAAGTTTGGTGTAGAGGAACTCGAGTGTCCTTCAACCTTTGGATTAACTGGAATGTAGACTGTGATCCAGATCTTCTCTTTCATTAACCTGGTCTCACAAACACTCCTTGGGTGAATGGGCACACATTTCCACAGACACACTCCAAAATCTTGTTGGAAGCCTTTCTAGAAGAGTGGAGACTGTAGTAACAGCAAAAGAGGGACCAACTCAATATTAATGCCTATGGTTTTGGAATGGGATGTCCCACAAGCTCATATAGAAGTAATAGTCCTGCAGACACTCTCCAAAAAAACTGTGAGAAACTTTCTCAGAACAGTGGAGGCTGTAGGAACAGCAAACGAAGGATCAACTCCATATTAATACCTTTGGTTTTATAATAGAATGTTCATCAAGCTCATATAGGTGTGATAGTACCACAGACATGCTCCAAAATCTGGGAAGAATTCCCAGAAATGTGGTAGCTGTAGTTACTGAAAAGGAAGGACCAACTTCATATTAATGGCCATGGTATTAAAACAGGATGCCCAACACACTCACATAGCTGTGAGAGTCCCACATACATACTGAAAAATCTTGTGGGAAGCCTTCCCACAGGATTTTCCAAGATTTTGGGTTCAGGAAAGGATGGACCAACTCCAAATTACTGCCAATGGTTTTGGAATGGGATGTCCTATAAGCTAATATAGATGTAACAGTCCCACAGACTGTTTGTGGGAAGCCTTTCGAGAACAGAGGAGGCTGTAGTAACAGTAAAAGTGAGATTAACTCCATAATATTTCCCATGGTTTTGTAATGTCCATCAGGCTCATATAGGCGTAATACTACCACAGACACTATCCAAAATCTTGTGAGAAAGATTCCCAGAAAAGTGGAAGCTGATTTAACCACAAAAGAAGGACCAACTTGAAATAATGGCCATGGTTTTAGAACGGGATGTGCAACACGCTCATATAGCTGTGATAATCCAATATCTCAAACATTTCCACAAGATTTTCCAAGGTTTTGGTTACAGCAAAGAAGGGACCAACTCCATATTATTGTTCACAGTTTTGGAATGGGGTGTCCAACAAGTTCATGTATACAGTATGGGATAGTCAGGTATTCACACATTATTGGCCATAAAGCGTATATGAAGCTGGCATATGGACAAGAAAAATAATCGTTTCCAGTGATAAGATAAGTTTTCTTTTGAACACTTTTTCCCATTAAGTATATTGTGTTTTTAGGCGCTGAATTCATTCCTATTTTTAGAGTGTTTGTGTTATTTGTTCACAAATTTCTGGCAGTACAAAAAAAGAATTATGTTCATTTTTTGAGTTATATTCAGAAAGCAATCAACAAGAATTGTACAACTAATAGAAATGTTCACAACTTAAAGGAAAACTCCAGTTTTGTTAAAAAAAAAAAAAAAGATACAACACAAAGGATTTCAAAACAATCGGTTCTGTTGTTGCTACCAAATGTTTTCCATTTCAGCCATGGTTTCCTAATAGTGCCAAAGAGAATTTATCTGCCTTGAAGCCATGGCAACAGTACTCAGTTCATTGAATTTCTCAGTATTCTCGTCTCACACTTATCTCACTGTATGTTCTAGAAGTTTCCACAGAGCAAGAAAAACAGAACTGTACGGAGAAAATATGGGACTGCCTTTGTTGATCTCCTTCTGAAAATGTTAGCCGTTTGGCCACCTCTGGCTTCCGATATCATGAAGTATGCAATAAGTGACAATCTGACGTCTGAATTTCTGATCTGCATATTTGTGAAGACGTAAAAAGCACTGAAGCCAGAGGCTCAACATGATAGCCAAGCAACTAGAATTTTTCAAAAGAGGAAAGAGCTATTTTCCTCAGCAAAGAATTCCCTAAGCCAAGTTACGGGCATCTCTAGCAAGATCTTGCAATAACAGTTTCATCTTTGGCGAGCTGCATTCAGAGGTATCATAACAATGCTGGTGGAATGCAACATACTGGGACCGATCGTGGTAATAACCAGCAGTCATTTTCAGGTGCACTGGCACAGCTTACATAAATATCTACAGGACAAATGCATGTAAAGATGTAGGGAAAAAATGACAATGCATGAATGTTGTTAATTTGTGTTGTAATACAGTGTAGGTGTTTGAACATGCAATAATAGACCTACATCACACCAGAGATCACTGGAAATTATTCCCCAGTGTCAGGATCACCAAGGAGCTGAAACTGTAGTGGCACACCACTGCTAAGAGGTCCAGCTACAACTTTATTCCATTACAGGTCAAGGGTATAATTCAAAAAGCCAACGCGTTTGCTGTCAAACAAGCTGCTGATTCACACTGGAAAAACACCATTGTAGGTCCAGTTCACTTCTGTTTTATTCACTTTGTTGCCAGTCAAACCGTTATGAAGGGGGCACTTAGACCCCCCAAACACATTGGCTTTTTGAATTGTACACCTGACCTGTAATGGAATAAATTTGTATCTGGATCTCATAGCAGTGGTGTGGCACTTCAGTTTCAACTTTTTACATTATACTGCAAGCCAAGGAGACGTGGTTTGATGAGTTTAGTGTGAAGGAACTCAAAAGCCTTGATCTCAACCTTTAGGATGAACTGAAAAGTAGATTGCAAATCAAGTCTTCCTATCCAGCATGGGCCCTATTTCCCAGACATAAAGTCTAATAGGACGCCTTTCCAGAAAAATGGAGATTGTAGTAACAAGAAATGGGAGTTTCCAAGTCTTATTTCCCTGTGCTACACGAGCTATAAACAAGGAGGTTTCAGGTATCTCCATTCTGTCCCAAATGCATGATGCTCATGCTTAATCATCTGCAATGTCTGATCCCCCATTGCTGCCAGGATTTCATGCCCAGTTGCCGTTACAGGGAGCCCGCAAAGGGGAAAGAACAACACATGTATTTCTGTCACATCATTTCTTCTATTC